AGTCCGAGTATTCATCTCTACGTATTGCTTTGGGACATTTTTTCATTTTGTGTACCAACCCTTCGTGTCAAACTTTGTCAATAGCTTGTGCAACAACCAGGAAGACCACCGAGGCTTTCTTTCCTTCCAAGGCCTGTTCAATGGTGTCAGTTATTCTATGCACTTGGGCTATTGTTATTGTTTGTTTCTATTATTGGTGTCAGCCTTTTGTGGTAGGCTACGTAGGTAGGCTAGCATGACTATACTTACATACATGACTTTTCTTGGCAAGTGGTTTAGGATTTCTCCTGTGATGAGGTCAAATCCTGGAGCTTTTAGTTTAGTTCTTATCTCATCCACAACTCCTTAAGGAGTAACTGGTGTGATACTTTCTGTTCTTTGGTTTTCAATATTGGTTATTTCTGGATTGTTTTGGCCTGTGTTGGGAGTAAAGCTTTCAGCCAGATATTTAGCAGACAGCGTTACTTTTTACTTGTTGTCTCTGGCCAACGGTTTATTGTTGTTTTTGTTAGGAGGAACAGAAATTACAGGTCCCTTGATCTCCTTCCATGGTGAACAATCTTTTTCGATTCTGGGTCTTGTTAAGTATAGTTTGGTCTGAGAAATCCTTCAATTGTTGCCATCTTATTCTAGCTCTTCGTTTTTTTCCATTGCTGTTACTATGCGCTTTTGGTACAAAATTATTTTATTTTTATCCCTAGCTTCTAATTTGTAGAGTCTTACATTGATTCGATCTAATGCCTTTATGATGCTTATCTTCCTGGATTCTCCTCTTTATAGGAAATTCAGACATGTCGACTTTGCTGGTTTCTGTTGTTGGGTTATGACAACCCTGGCTTTACTATATTAGGGACAATTTGCAGCAACTTTCTTGGCTGTTTGGAATGTCTGGATACAAATAAAAACTTGCCTAGCACACCTGACGACTGTATTTCATATGTCACATATATATATATATATATATATTACATATGTATCACAAAACCTAAGTACATCAGGAAGAGATGGTCTTCCTTTTATACTATGCGTAAGAATCAAACAAAAATATATTTAGCATTTTCGTGGATTTGCTCATTCCTGGTAGAAGCAGCAATAAACGGACAAAGCAATTCCTTATTTTATTTGGTGCCAAAATCGATCTGGATCTATCTTTTCAGAATTTATTTCTATCAATATCATGAAATTAATCGCGAAGTAATCGCATATTGAATGACTTCCTGAATTTTTTAAGTACAGACTAAGGCAGGAGAGATTTTGTCATTTCATTTCACTCTCTATATCATATTCCACTAAGTAGAAAATGAAGACACCTTTGACTACAACTATGGCATTATGCCACTAGAGCAGTAATGCAACTATTGCCACGAAAGAGAATATTTACTCCATATTCCTAATTCCAAATTATTCAGATGAGCTTTCGTATCCTGAGCGTGTTAACTAAATTCAACATGGCGTTTCCATTATTCTTGTTGAATGAGAAACATAACCTGTATGTTGCTTATAGAAATAACAATGTGTCAAAAGTTCAGATTTTTGATATCTAGCACGTATTTTATCATCCTCTACACCACTCAAATATTAACACTAAAGTGATAATTAGTACTCATGTCGCAACAGACAAAAATGTTCGAGTAGCAATAACACAAAAAGCAAGGAGTACATCTCTCTTTATAATGGAGGTGGTGCCACGTTGTATATTATGATAGTTCTCAGATTGGTTAGAAGTAAATTGATTCATCTGACGTTGTTTAATATTGTCAACAATTAATAATCAAGGTTGTGTTGTTGGTATTGTTGTGTGTAGGTCACCGCCCCTGGACTGTAAACTACTTTTTGATCAATTTAATCCGACATTTTCTCAAATCTTGTCAGTGTGCGATGGTGTGCTTCATCATTTATCGATGAGCTTTTGTAAATGTTGTTGTGAATTATTGTAAGTGTATTTGTATTAACTATTTTAATCCCAATATATTACATATTTATATTTTATAAACTACGTGCCAAAAAAAATGCAACACTTCGAAAGAGCTGAGTCACAAAGTTGAAATTTTTACAAGTAATTTGTATTTATTTCAGTAGTAAAGCGTAACAATTGAAAAAATACCAACAATTTATGTCAATAAAATGTGTTATATCCCCGACACTCTGACTAGTCTTAACTCTCCTATCCATCAGCTCTGAATGATCAATGTATCTTGTGGATCTCATCCCAGGCTCGCTGTATATGACGACGAAGTTCCTGCAAGGTATTTGCTGCTTCTAGTAAACGCCTTATATAGGTTGTCCCGCACTTCAATAGCGGAAAAAAATTATTTCTCTTTCCGTGTCGAATCTATTGGTGAGTACACGTGAGAAACGTGTTATGAGCGGCGCGGCGGACCGGCCGCAGGTGGAGCCGATTACCTGGGACTGATTTACGATCTTTTATTGGACGAAAAAATTTCATTAGAAAAATCGCTTCAGAATAATGTATCCATCAACCGTATAATATTCTGATGCGGAAGATACGGGACACCTGTATAGCGATCCATCATATCCCACACATGCTCGATCGGGTTTAAATCCGGATAGCAAGCAGGCCACAGAATTTCTACTCCTTCGTGTAGGAAGTTCTGACAGATGTGGGCGATATATCAGGCGTTATCCTGCTGGAACATGATGTTTAGCCTAGGTATTACAACGGGCTGTAAAACTTCGTGGATGTATCGGTGTGATAACAACTAGAAGGGACTTATATCTCAACAATATGGCACCCCATACCATAATACCAAGTGTTTGGCCGCCGTGACCTCGAAGAGTAAAATCTAAACTGCGCCGCTCGCCACGGAATCTTCTTACCATTACCCGTAGATCATTTTGCCACAAGCAGAACCGGGATTCGTCGCTAAACATTATGTGATCCCATCCATTGATCCAACCTTGTCTTTCTTGGCATCATAAAAGTATGCCTTTTTTGTAAAGGTGCGTCAAAGGAAGACGTCGTAAAGGTCGGTATGACTGGAAATTAAAAGATGAAATTTATCGGTAGACAGTTTTCAATTGCAGCTTTTCGTTCTTCGAAATCTGTCTTTAAGATTCATTCGTCTAAGACGACGATCTTCACGTTGATTAGTCGCTCGAGGACGTTCGCTTCCAAGACGACGATGTTGGTTATGTTCTTTAAACCACGCAGTTCATGCTCGAAGCACTGTTGAAGGGTTTCGATTTAATCTTCAACCAATTTGGCATTTACTTTGTGTGCAGTTTTTAACTTTCCTGTTATAGATTGTCTGTTTCACAGCAAAAAACCATATGAACACTTATAATTCTTTGTGTATCAATATGATGTTTTTATCACCGACTTTTTACATGCATCCAGTTGTTTTGTTAAGATTTCAGCTTGATGACTCATCTTTTTGGAGATGTTGCAATTTTTTTGGCACGTAATATGTAATAAATATTAAATATACAATCAAAAAATCGGTGTTATATGAATTTCGTAAACACAATCTATAATACGTACATAAATTTATCAATTTCGTCATATACTTCCACAAACATATTTGATAATACATATTTAGTGTCAATATTTGAAATAATATCCGGCGCATCCACCAAAATTGAACATTCCCTATATTTTGTTTACAATAAAGAAATTGTTAATTTCATAGAATTTTTCTAAAAATACAAGTTGAGTTCTTGGTAAACAAATTAAAACCACTCGAGACATTCGTAAACATAATTTATTATCCATCAAGTTTGCAATTATTATCCTACACAGTTCCCAATATGATTAATATTACATATACGGTTTCAATGTTGGATAAATTAACCGCCACTGAAATCGATCAGTGCACCCCAATTATAATTTATTGAAATGCGGCGAAATTTCCGATTTCAATGATAGATTCGCGGAAAATGAAATTTTGATTGCATTACAATTAAATATGAATTATTTTAACTTGTTATACCGCAATATTAACGTCTTCAACTAGACGTTATTTAATTAATCGTTTAGAAACAAAAGCTTTGGACATTTACAACAATTAACGTTATAATAAATAATTAATTAAAGCATTAATTAGCCAAAATGTTTTTGTTGTTATCGGACAGTTTGGGTTTGGCCCTCATATATCATTATCCCATTTTGCACAGTGACAATGTGTCACGCAACAATTCCCATCGACCGTAATTTAATTTACGTAACTCGTTATCAATGAGTAATTACTCAATGTTTTTAACGTTATTTATGTAATTACATATAATAATGCAAACAAAATTGTGATATTTAAATTCTTTTTTAAGATTAACGAATGAATATTACGTTGTGATGTTTATAAATTAACTGGAACAACCAACAATAGGAAAAGCAATTATTCCAATCGTCTTTGTACCTTGATGATCTCATAAAGGTGTATACCGGAACCATTCCTATTCATTCGTACAAATTAGCTTAGTCTTAACACGATGAACATTAATAATTTCCTGCAACCACAAAGCATCGTTGTTACAATTGAGATATTGATATCTTGACTCCTATGTATTTAAAAAAATATTAAAACAGTTATTTTTTAGTATCACAAAATCCCCAAATGGTCATTTCGCTCGACATAGAAGGAGTAAAGAGAATAGCGCAGCTGAGAATCTTAGTAATTTATTACTTTTCAAGTTTTATCGTTAAATCCTATTTTCCTTCCATCTCATAGTTATTATCTTTCTTAAAAGCAAACTTTTCAGTTAACTAATAATCGTCTTAAAATGCAAGATACTATCTCTTACTAACCGTTTGAACTTTTTCGTCTTTGTTGTTCGAATCTCATCTCAATAACCTCAAACTATCTCCCTAGAACACACACAAGGGAAAAGCTAAAAGTTCCTCAGTATCACGTTCGCTTCGGAGAACGTGCACGAAAGCTCGCTTTCCGCGTCATCGACCGTTTTACGCCGACGTTGCCTAGATCTCTATAACGGTGCCCGTTTGGTCTACCCTTTTTCTTATTTTTACCCCTTCGTTGTTGCAGGGAAATTCAATTCCACTGGAATCGCCTCGGGAACCGTCGAGGAAACCTCGAAGCCGATTTCGTCGTTGAGACTGCACGTGCATTCCGACAGCGAAAACTGGGCCATCCTAAGCGAGGTGAGTTATAACATACCCAGGGTTAGATCGAACTATATCGGTTAAAATTGTAAAGATGAATGCGACTGAATATATTTCGTGTAAGCTTACAGATAATAAAATTTTCGGGTAACGTTTGAATCATTTATAAATTGTTATAAATTTGTTATAGATAATGATACGTGGTGACAGAGCAAGGTGACCAAGGCCAGATGCTGGAGTGATGCAGTTAATATCTCACATAAGACGTTATGTACTCCGTAGCGTCTCAAATCCCCCTCCTCTGTGATATCACACACCCAAGTACGCAATGTATTGCATACAAAAAGTGTACCACCCGTTAATTATGTGTATCGTCGTCAAACTACCCTATTATGTATTGTGTAAAACCCTAACCTCGACCCTTCAAGAGCCAAAACAAAAAAAATCCTTTAAAACCCAAACAAATACCATTGAAATAGATCACTTTTATATCCTTCAATTCCTTAAATCTATCCTAACCCTTGTAAGATGTATTCTTTCTTCCTCTCCTTTCCTATATTTAAGAACTAATTAAGGGACTTTTCGTTCGCACCGCACTTTTTCGATATTTTTTTTGACCTTATGTTTCGGTTATTCGACTCGCAAAACTCCTATTTATTTAGTTACCTTATTGATTTCGTTTCACATTCGTTTCTTGACATTGTTGATTATGTTTTTTAAATGATATTTATAGGTTCTTTTGTAACAAAGAAAAAACACAAAACGATGTAAATGGCTAAATGGAATTGTTGAAAACGTTTGATGAATTCTAGTCGTTACTACCGATCATTTGGAGTTATGTATTTTTGTACATACAATAAAATAAATTATTTAAGAAAAATCAAGCTTTTTTTTACTAATTTTTGTATTTCAATATAGGAGGATGAGCAAATATTAACACAACCAAATTATCAAAATTTATAAAAAAATTAATTGGGGATAGTACTTTATACATTTACTTAAATAAATAACTAATAAATCCCGAACAACGAAAATCCAATTTAACACATTCAATGTGTACTCGACGTAACATCGACAAATTGAATTGTATTTTATTCTAGATAGACCTGAAAAGCTTTTACGTTTTAAAAGTTTTATTTTTAAATATTTACGTAATATTAACGTGATTACAAGACTAGCTGAGGTACATTATTAATTTATTTAACATCAAATTTGACGCAGCGGAAAATAAAGCCAATCCACGGTGTACCCTAAAAAGTTATAATAAATTTAACAAAATCAGATAATGTAACTGTAACATAACAAATACTAGTTCAATAGCTCATGGCGATGTACTGCAAATGATCGTACATACGAGCATTAGCAAGGCTGAATTGTAATGATGTGTACGCGAGATTTGATTGTAAATAGAGGATTACACTGACTCGGTTGTGATCAAACGCAGCCTCTATTATTCAAGCAAAGTAAACCACAGTAAACCGTATTTAGTCACCTGATTACAGAGATGGAATTTACGAAATTGCTCATCAACTACGTAAAGGTAAAGAGGATTTATTATTTAAAATTACGTTAAGAATTGCTGATAAGATATTCAATAAATTTATCGGATATTTGAAATTATATTCAAATTACTTAGTATGCATATATCTCTAATATCGGTTACTATAGATAGAAATCATATGCGTATCCCATATACGGATATACTTTTAGGACTATACATATAGATAACAGCCATTGATCCGGGATAAAGTACTTTATGAGCGCGAGAAGAAGCTACATCCGTCAAATATTCTGAGTCTTAGTTGTTATATGAATATAAGAATCGTCTTCGTGGAACGCCAACTGCAATGATCGATTCCACGATTTTATATAAAGGATAATATGTAGAAAGGTTTCAAGAAAGATTTGATTTTTATAAAAATATGAAAATATTTTTTGATCAAAGATTTGAAAACTGGTGTTAGACAAAATATTTTACATTTTTTATTCATCATACTTTGACTAAAAATGGATGAACAACAGCTCTATACTTATGAGGCTTCAATGAGTTCAATTATGACAATTTCTGCAATACAAAAAAGCATACCATACCATAACATATAACATATTGTAGTTAAATAATAATTTATTTGTAGTTTTCATACATTAAGTATTTTCACACGTCATAAAAGGATACAATATTTCTTTACAAAAAATATACCCAAGAAATACTGGTCAAGAAAGGCTGGTAGGTGAATGATCGATAATGGTCTACGTAACAGTCTGGCCAATAGAACTAAGATCAGTACTAAAGAATTCGTCAAAGTTATAAAAGGTCAAGAATGCCACAATAAAGCACTCAAAGAAAATTTTTTAACGGTAAGTATAGTTTTATTTAGGTTGAATAGATGTAAAAGTATTTTTCTATTTAATTGTCTATTTATCTATTTCATTAATAATCCTAGTAGATCTGGGCTAAATGCATTCACTTTGAACGCAGTCAATAGAATCAGCATTTTCATTCGTGCCATATTGAAAATGTAGCGTACACAGCCTACCTTCACATAGTAATTTTTATCTTTTATCAAATTACCTAAATTGCAATCTTACCATTTTTTGAAATGTTTTTACATCAAATATCAAAAAATGGTAACATAACAATTTAGGTAATTTAATAAAAGTTAAAAATTTTGTTAGGATAAGTCCAAAGGCCCGACTGGCTGGAGTTTGATGTTGAACAATCAATGACAGGGCTAGTCCAATGGCTAGAATTTCTTGAATGTGAACTTGTCTGATCAACGATCTCATTTGTTATTATTGTGCAAAATAGAACTAATTCGACTACTGCAATGGCCAGAATATGATCTTTAATAGGGATCAATAGTGTACCATACCGACATTAATTAGTTTAAATTTTCCTTGTGATTTGTTTAACAAACCATAAATCTCGCACTACTTTTGACTCAGTTGCAAGTTTTACCATTTTCGACAAGTTAATTCTCGTTTCTTTCCAACAACGAATTCACATTATCTTGTTTCAGCCTTTTACCTGTACCTTTTCGCGTTTCATATTTACTTGCGTTTCAATGGAAAGATCAAGAATGTAGTGTTGTGCTATTGGCAGTTATTGATGATGAATGCAAATTTATCATGATTGATATTTTTGTAAATTCTTGATTTGATAAAAACGCAAAGTCATCTTTCAAATCTCAGATTAAAAATGTTTTGCAAGTATTGACAAATATTGTCGGTTGTTTTGGTGGAGGTCAATATCAAAGTAGAGCAATATTTGGAGTATCAAGTGCTTATGTGAGGCAGGGAAAATTGGGGTATGTGTTTGAATTATGTTATTTCCTTTGCTCACATTATGTTGAACCTTACAAGTTTACTGCAAACTAATAACCTGATATAAACAGACGTGGTCCCGATATGCGTGTGCAGTGAAGCTTAAAAAAAATATTTTTTTCTAAATCGACAAAACTTCTTTCATCACTTTAACCACGCTAAGAGCAAAGAAATCGCAAAACAAATTAGAGGGTATTCCGCGATACCATATATTTACCACATTGTCATTTGTATGTAACATATGTATGTCCGGCACATCCTTCAAACTGGGCAGAACATTCATATGAGTCTTACTGATGTTAGTAGTTATTAAACAAAACTAAACAAAATTTACACGTACCTTAATTTTATTGTCAATGTGTCTTCTGTTATAAATGGGTCCTTCCTACGTTTATAAAACTGTTGTTAGATTATCTTGGGTGAAGTGCAATTTATAATTAACTTGATAGCGCGTGATTATAATGATTATACATTAACATTGTACCTATGTTGGAGTCTTTTTGAGTTCTTTTCCCTTCAAAATGTTTTACATAACCTCCGTAATGTAAATTGTGAGAGAGTCAGTCTGTGCAATGATACCTGCCCATAACCACTAAATTGGTTTCTCATCGACACAAACTTAGGCGTCTTTGTCCTCATCTTTTTCATTCTCACCAACATCCATCTATTTCAATGAGGCAAAAACGCAACTGATCTGTAAACAGTATATCGCCATTCAAGCGTAGTGATTTCGAATAGTAATCTTAAACCTCTGCACTATCGAAACATTCGTTAACATTAACATCTCTAACCTGTTGAAGCCAAGTAACATCCACATAAAATGTTCAATTCTGCAAACTTGAGGTTCACAAATATTAATCTCTGGTTATATATTATGCTCAGCACATACACTCTTACCAATAATTCTCGATTGTTGATAACATCGGTTCCTTAATTGAACTAAAACTAGACTTAACACTAGCACTATCACTAGAACTAACACTAGATCAATAACTAGAAACTTTTGTGTTAAGATGGGTATCTTTTGAAAAAGACAAACACTTTTCCATTTCGGATGTCATGTTGCAACCTTCTTCTTCAGAAAGAAGTTCGAAGTGACAATAAAAGTCCCGTCGTTACCACCGGTCGTAAAAGCCATTTTAAGTTGCAGCGAGCGAATATCTCGGAAACGTTATATTTTACTTAAAAATTGTTCAAATATAAGTTGTTTTATACGAAGGATTAAAATCAAACCGACACACAATGGGGCCAATTGCGTCTAAAGTTGGCATAAACTCCAAAAACGCAGGTTTAGTAAATATTTCTTTTCCAAATGGTTTGAACTTTAATCTACACATAAAATTTGTTTGCAGAGGTAGTACGACACGCTTTTATCACTTCCGGTTTGGAAGTAAATAGGTACCTTTTGTTTTTGTGTCGTGAATAATGAAAATATAAATAAAAATATCGAAAAAGAATATCATTTTGTCTATGAATACATACACCAAAATTACTATGCTAGGAGTTTCAGTCACTAAGATACAAAAAACAATTACTTATAAGTAAAAAAAATATTTTATTTATATAATTATTTACATCTATGATACCCCAAGTATTTTCACTTTTTGTCACTACTATCTACTACTCATCTGATTCTTCTTCGGCACTTGCACTAGAAACGAGAGGAACTTTCAACATTGCCAAAACTTTTGAGTCGAAAGTTTTCAATTTTCTTCTTATGAACTGTCTGTAAGTTACTATAACCATATCAGAAGATATTATAAAAGAATAAATTGAAAATATCTTCATTTGTTTTCTCCCTAGAGCATCGTCGTGAATGGGATCGCCTAAAGAGTTTAAAGTCTTTGTTGCGCGCCTCTTGCGCTTCTTCGCTTAGCTGTCCTATAGGCACCAGCGAATTTTGAATAACTTCACCACCATGAATCAGATCTTGTGAACTGAGGGCGCCATCGGCTACCATTTATATTTATCCACGAACAATGCTGTAGTTTGTCGACCAAATAGTTTAAATTTCTCAGCATCAATGTCGTAGTTGCATGTGATGGTTTGCAAGATAATATGAAACCGATTTATTATTTCTATATCAACACCCATTTTCTGGTTGCTACAATCGTTTTCGCCTGTTCTCCGCGCGCTTGCCATTTCATTATGGACAACTTATAAGATAAGTGTATGCATTCAAAAAAACGAATCCATGCGTGTAATATGGATAGACCAAATGCGTAGTTTTCTGATTTTGTATGGGCACTATAGACTTTTTTTAAATCATTGAATTCCTTCGATGACAAGCCAGAAATAAAACATCTTTGAGTCGACGTACCGGATTTTGCCAAAATTATTGGCAAGTATTGTCACTATGCAAACTAGAAACATGTGCCCATCACTTATATCTTGAATACTTTGTTTATATTCTGCCTGTCCACTAGACCCATCTAACCCCCATTTGCAAATTAATTTCAAAGGGTTTAACGCTACAACATCTTGGGTTTCTAAAACACTTTTTTGAGCGTCTAATAATCGTTGAACTGTTAGGTCCAAAAGAGATAAACATTTGGTTGCCATGGTTACACACGGCTACTACTATTTTTTATATCAAATGAATGGGAAATAATGAAACTTTAAATTAATTTTTCTCGAAAATTTTCTTATGTAATCGATATTAATATTTATTGTACATAATTCAGAAAAAATTTTTTTCTTTTTCAAATTCCGATATAAAAAATGGGATGTTCCATTTTAAAAAAAACTTCGATGACGTCTAACTCGTTTAAAAATGGCGGAAAAAATTTAAAATATACACCAAAAGATTGCAAAAAATTTAAATCTTTAGACCCGTTTCAGCGATCTTTTCATAAATTGTTCGTAATGATTAATGATTTTATCGAATTTATCCGTTACTTTTGAAACGCACTGTATAACTGGGAAATATTTGTTTATCTTTTGCTCTAATAATATGTTGTATTGATTCCTTGTTAATTTTGCATCTGTAAACATTGCCAAAGCTTCTTCCCCAGAAATATGTCCTGTCGTCACTTCTTCTCGCTTTTTCAAAGCTTGAGAAGGCGATTTTTGTGTCATCTGTTTTAAAACATTAGATGCGTCCACTTTCCCTGCTTTTCACAAGGACATATGTGTAGCATATGATAACTCTTCTGTAGAAAAAGAGCTTGATAATTCTTCGGTTTTTAAACGTTTCGTGCGTTCACTGCATTCTGCAAAGCTTTAGCTATAGCAGTTTGTAACCAGTGTTTTTTACTTTCCTGGAATCTGGTATTAGATCTACACGCTTTAGCCCATTTTTGTTTAAAAATACTATAAAACAGACTTAAAACTCTATTGAGATCGAGTAGATTATCTTTGGGACATAATGTCCGCGATTGAATTTCTTTTTTTAAGTGAGTAAACTGATGATCCAATTGCTTATGTCCTGAATTTCGCATAATTTCAAACAAGTTTTTTCTTGTAATAAAAATAAGCTCTCTCGACGATTGAGATCCTAACAAAATAAAAAATACGATGTTAGGAATATGCTATGACAATATATCAACAGAATAATATCATTTGTCATGTATATATCTCGCTGCAGCATTTTTGCAGAGTTTTTACAAAAAAATAAATCTATAATCTATAATCTAAATATTAATTTCAAATTCCAGATCTAGACATGTTGAGAACATAAACTTTTCGAAGTTTATTTGAAAGAATGAAATGTGGGGGTGACGTCGATGTTTTTTTTTAATATTACAAAATATTGAAATGTTTTTAACATCACATACCTTAAGGCATTTGATACATACTTTTTTAAACTTAGTAACTGTCCAGTTTTTACGAAAAAAAAATCGTTAAACTTCACCAATTTGCGCAATAATTTTAAGTGCTCACTTGAAGGTTAACTTCTAAATTGCCTAAATATTTATCGCGCAGAGAGACAACCCTAAGAATTCGTGTTTTATGACCCCTCAGGTATACGAAAAAAGGTTTGAACATCAAAATCTTAAAACTACGACTTGCGTTTTTGCCAACTTTGGACGTAATTGCCCCAATGTGCGATAGTATGTATTTCTTTATCTTAACGTTAATTGCAAGGTCATATGAATACACTTTAACACGTCGCTCAATAAACAATTCAAGATAGTATTTTGTTATACATTTTTACTAAAATTATATAGCAGTTTGGATACTGGTCATTGAGCGATGGACGAATAAGTCTTGTCTACTCACAATAATCACAATCGTTGGTGACTAGCAACCATGGAAGTAAAGCTGCCTTTACCGATACAGTGGTGATCGTAATCGTGATTGAACACTTCTTTAACACATGGAGGGGTAGACGTTCCAATAGAAGTGTGTGATGTTGCAAAATATTACGGCATGTTTCTTCAATATTTTTAACAACCGATGAAGTAGAAGAAAATCATATCATTTCATATAATTGTATCAGCTTCTCCAAACGTTAACAAACCAACGACGCTCATGCTCAAATGATGCTCAATTATACATGCTGTGATGATTAACCTTGCCGTGGTTTATGAAACTTCACCCGTTGAAAAATATTATTCTGCAAAAGTATTGTAAGTCTTCTAATCGTGTGAGTGGGTAATTGCATAATCTTATGAAATTTACGACAGTTTTGCATTCTTCAAATGTAAAGAAATCTCAGAATTCCCAAATGGAATGTACTTACACTGCAATCTTATACATATAGTAGTGCACCATGACTATCTATAGCAGTGGTGTCATCTTGGCAAGACATTTATATAAAAAGTCGATCTTGATCAAAAATTTGTGGACACCACTGATCTATAGGTTCTCTTTTTTGATCTCAATACTTAATTAGATACAAAAGTAAGCTGATATGCTAAATCTGTATTCCAAAGCTTGCTCCTTTAAACGTGTGTTTACGTTAAATAACATTTCTTGATAAAAGTCCACAAGACTAGTTGCAACTTTTCATTACAATTTGTACAATATGATTTAATTTTTATTGTCACAGCTCCATGTTTCTTAATCAAAGTCAACAATCAGTAATACCAGTAAGTGCATATCATAATGCAGATAAATAGTAGTGTGTGTAGTGTCTCACATTTTACTATTATATTAAATTTTGTGCATCCATCTGCTGAGATCTCTATAAATTATATAGAACTGTTTCAGAGTTTGTGTTAAATAATTTAAGAATAACACAAGACTTTAAAAAGTAAACTTTATTCCCTACTCAGAGCTTCGTATATACACACATACAAACAATACGAGCACAAAATAACGATAAATTTTTCTATTACAGAATAGGCTAATATAAATTTTTAATGATGAACTTTTACGGCTCAGCTAGAAAGCTTATCCACCATAGAAAAGACTATAAAAATTGATTGCAACCAAAAATGATAAAATACGTGCTTGTCTTTCAAATTACTATCACAAAATATTTTGTGTTCTCAATTCTTAATTTATCCACAATTGTATTGAATTAACTAATTAATTGAATATTCCAGTCTAGATAACGCAAATGAAATTCACGAAGAGTTATCTATCCTTACGAAATGCAATCCTGTTTGCAATACCAACACAAATGGAATTTCATAATAAAGAACAACGTTTCAATGTCTGGGCTTTTCGCAAACAAAACCGACGTCGTCGCCTAAATACTACAATAGCTTGAAAGCTCCGTAACAGACGCGAAATGCGACAGAAACAGATGGCGGAACCTTCAAATTAAATTTCCCACAATGCAATTTCCTTCCCCTTATCCCATACCAACAAATCCGGCGATCCGTTACGCGCAATAATTCTCCTCGATGAAGTACCATAAAAATACGAATAAAAGCTTTTAGTTGCAATAAACTTCGATTATTGCTAATAGATTTCATTAAAAAGAAATTAACGTTGCTTCAACAGGTAATAATTGACGCTATTGAAACGAACAAATTGCTGAACTAAACGTAATTTGGAATGCTTGAAAGTCTAAAGGCGAAATGCGGTTCCTATATGTACTATATTCTGGCTTGTATTAAATTTTAAGTTCCTCTTGTGAATATAATATACGCTTCAGTTATTTTGGTTTAGATTACAGATCAAAGGAAGTAGTTTGGAAACTTACTTCTTAAATAACCTCTAGGGCTTCAAAGCTGTCAAAGTTGTGGTCTTCATTGTGGAGGGAAAATAAGTACAACAAAAATAGTTTTATAGCATATTTTATTGAAGATTTTCACACGTATCATCTGTGTTCAACGCATCCCTCTAATTAAAATAGTTAAATTTATAAATCGACCAACCTCGATATTTCCAAAATGATGCTAATAATCAAAAAGAAATTAACAGATTAAAACAATGAATAAATAATATGGTACATAGTAACGTGAGATATTAACAATATTTACAAACACCGCCCAAAAAAATTATGGTTTTTCTTTATGGTGCTGCTAAAAGTTCATCTGTGATGCTATGCGATCTTCCCATTCCTTTAGCAATACTTCCAACACTTCCATTAACAATCGCTGCGGCTTTTTCCGCATGATACTGCTCGCAGTACTCCTTCAATCGATTACCCAAAAATACAGCCCTTTCACGTTTCTTAATCATAAAATCAGTTGGTAGTAACCATCTGTTTTCGTGACATTCTTCAGCAGTTGGTCGTTTACTATGATTGAAAAGAATGATGTTAAAACGTTAAATTAATTAACGACTTTAATTAATTAAACTTACTTTGGATGACGTTTAAAGACTAACATCAAAAATCTAACACCTTCTTGTGATACTTCTTGGTACAAATTTTCAAATCTGTATCTTACAAATAAGATGTTTTGTTTGGTTTCATTTAGGTCCTCGCCTTTGAAAGGTAACGTTCCAGATAACATAACATACATGAGTACGCCAAGAGACCAAATATCTGTTAATGGGAAAGCTGGTTCTTCAGCTAACACTTCAGGAGCTAAAATTAAAAATTAAATTAAGTATAAAACAGCAAATTAAAAATAACAACAAACCCATATAATCTTGATGTCCTACAATTGGTACTTTATTTCCTAATTTTGTTACGCGATGTGCACAACCGAAATCAACGAGTTTGACTTGTACCGTTCTCATTCCAGACATTACAACATTATCGGGTTGAAGATCTAAGTGGCAAAGTCCTCTCCAGTGAAGATATTGTAATCCATCAAGTGTCTATATAAAAAGAAATAAAATTTGTTTATAATTTTCTTTCATTTTTCTAGTATATATAAATTGAAAAATATAAAATGTCGAGTATATTGAATCTGGTTGGACTAAATTCAGAGTAAACTAAAATAAAGAAGTAAATAAGAAACAACGAAAATACACGAAAATAAACGAAAATAAGAAATAGAAGGGGAATTTCAAGTCCGTTGGTGTCCCTTTGCCCTTTCAAACGTCAAGCCGAAACCAACAATTTCAATTTCCCGAAAGTGCCATCCAGTAGTAATGACGCGAGAAGCTGGAAACGAGAGACCTTTGGGGAAAAAGGAATTTCATTTGGACAGTCTTAACTGTGGCTATCATGTTTTATACTTTAAGAGAAACCAAAAAAAAAAAACAGAAGAAGAAGCGATCATACTATTTTATGAGTCATAACAAGGAAGACGGGAAAACTATGATACAAAAATCGATTTTGGTGTTCATTAATGAGAATTCTCAAACTTACAGAGAGTTATATAGAATGTACCTATGTTAATCAAATAAAATGAACGCAATTAGCCAAAACTGCTTTGTACTAACAAGTTAATGCTATGTTGAAATAGGAATATTTGGAAACCGATCCATTTCTATTGGAAAACTTTAAACGTGTGAGAAACTCCAAAAAAATTTGTTTGGATATAAAACTTTAAATCATAACTGATAGAAATGTTAACTATTAAATATAATAATAAAGTTAAGAGATAGACTTTTAAATATTTGAGTACGTATATAAATAATTTTTAGTGTTAAAGTGTCGGGTAAACAATTAGTCGTAGTTGCCAATTTCTCAGAAATGAATACTTTATCGCAGAACACGGACAAGTAGTTCGAAGTAGCAAGAAATCCAACTTATAAAGAATGCCGTACGATATGGAATATGCGCGGGACTACTCAAATGTTTAATGAGGTCCAAAGAAAGTTAGAGAAGATTAAGAGTAACAGAATTATTCCAAGAGCGTAGTGTAGCTAAACGTAGTAAAACTATATGAAATAAAGAAAATCTGACCATCGAATTCAAAATAGAATGCAGATCTAATAGCAGAAATGAAAACATTTTTCACAAAATTATTATTATTTTACTGAAATACAGGTTTTAAAATACGGGTTTCTTCCACCTCAATCCTTTTTTGATGAAAGATTAACCCCTTTCGCCGATGCTTGATAATTTGTTGTAAAATTAGTTTTTCAGACAAAAACACTCAGAAATAAGTAGACTAGTCCTACGATAATATTTGACCTGCACATCAAAATGACCCACCGCACCGGGGCAAAGTAGCCTCTTTTAAATCTTGTAATTGAAGTACTTTTTCTCAACAAGGATATTATAAGCCACAAACTATCTAACAACAAACTTTTACCCTTGTTTTTCCACGTGCTTTATTCGATATCTCTGTTGTCTTTAGAGCCTGATCCTTCTTTCATAAAACCGGGGTTTGTCTTGTCGATATGTTAATATTAACAGAAATAAAACATCAAAACCGAATAAAAAAAACTTTATCAATTTGAAAAGAACACACTTTAGGCTACTTAAATCAAGGTTTTGCCCAGTTACTATCTATCGTTGTCGGCCCAAAAACAACCGCCTAAAACAGCCTCACCGGTACGTTTTTACAGCGCATTAAATGACTTTCGGGATAATAACTTTTTTATATGACGCAGGCAAAACTCCGATACTATATTGAATTATTAAAATAGGAAGCTTTCTACTCCATACAGTGCTATTTAATATTAATCGATTACTTGACCGGTTAAGCATTTTTCCTCTAAAACTACGAATACTTTAATTTATACAGAACTTTTTTATATGATACGGATAAGACTTCGAGACTATACATACACTTTCAAATCAAGAATACATATAAGATTTTAAAATAACATCTAAACAAGTGTTCCAAGTTGTTTCCAATATTTTGTAGACACAATTGGGTTCGCTGAATCCACGATGTCCCACTAGCGCGGCTTATACCAGTATCCGATTTTATAATCCTTGCTCAGTATTAACTTCCTCAATATTCACTTCCTCAGCTGCAATGTTAAATGCCTGTATTAACCACTGTATGCCATTCTCAGTATCAGCCAAGAGGACGACATCATCTGCATAGCACTCAATCTTGATTTTGTACTTTGTAATGTTTTCCCTGTTCTAATTCTTTTATCCTTACTTTTTGATGCTCTCAACATTTTCCTCAACATTGTACATGTCATTCTTCATCTCGTTAGTAAATTTCGCCATGCATCATTTGTGTAGGCAACTCTTGCAATCAAGATGACATGAGCAAACAACCCACTCAAATGTATGTAAACATTTTTTTGCAGAAGATGAAATAAGTAATAAATTGATGAGAGTAGTTTGGTGTTTATGTGTAAGATGATTTCTAGAAGGAAAGGCTGTACGCTTTAGAGATGATATGATAGCGCGGCCTAAACCAGGGTGTTGGCGGATTGTCTAGGCAGCAGTTTGTAGCTGATTTCGCAATCTTTGCTCAGTATTAACTTCAGTGACGTACACTATGCTTTTTAAGTGATCCCAAAACAAAAAAAAAGATAATAAAGACAAAAATTCCTCTTCTTCTCGAAATAATAACTAATATTATTTAGAGAAGAAGAGGTCTTTTGTCTTTATTATTAAATTATACCTCTAAATCATGGATTTTTCAAGAAAAAAACAAGAGGATTAAGGTCGGGCGATCGAGATGGCCGGGCCAATAGACTACCTCGACCTGTCCATCTTCCCGGAAGCACCTTATCTAGATGTCGCCGCATATATCGGATATCTAGGAAAGCAAAAATCTTTTACTACAATTTTTTCACCTATTAGCCATTATTTGTCGTGAGGAATAAATGCCCAAGTTTATGCGTATAGGTTGAGAATCATTCTGTATAGACCTGCTAAGAAATTTTCTGTTCTATGCGGTAGTATTTAACATTAATCGAGCACTTGATTGCAAAAGAATTTATTCCCTAAAACTGCGAAGCCATATAGAACCGACAGGAAATGTTCTGCTCTATGCGGTGGTATATAATATTAAGCGATCAGTTGATTGTACAAGCATCCGGTGTGTAGTAAGCAAGCCTATTGTATTCAGCAAATTCATTCTGTACTATGCTGGTATAACACTACTACCTCCAAACCAAGCATAATCAAGCGGCAATTAGCACCCCGGTTGTTATTTTTCATACGCTACCGCATGTCTCATTTCAAATGGCCTATATTTATTAAAGATGTTTAAAATAAAAAGAGTTTATTTAAAATACGTACACTGTTGCACTCAAGGGTAAAAGTTTATTGCTGAGAGGTTTACTGCTGCCCTCGCAGGGGAGTGAAAGTAAGTATTAGTCAAATGCAACAAAGGTTAACAATGAAATTCAACCTGTGTACAATCGAAATACATAGATACATATCATCAATTACAATCATAATCTATAAATACGTTAAGGATCACATTTCTTTCCAAAATCAATTGATTGTTTTATATCAACTGCGGAGGTCAAAATAAACACTACGTGTTAGACTTGATTCGGTTTAAACATACATTTGATATTATCAAATTAAGTCATCCTCATTTTCCTGCTGATAGACTTAGCAATTATTGAAAAATATAAGCAGAATATGAAACCTGATTTCGAACTAAAGAACTAGTATGATGCTGGTATAAAGTAGTAATAGTTTTGTTGTTACCATAATAAAAAGCAAAAGTATCTACTCGTTTAAAATTATTAAACAAAAACATTGTAAAGAAGAAATCGTCAGACGACAAAGAAAATGTCTAAAACGCATATTTTAGATGTGTATTTAGATTTGAGAATGATAACATAAATATAATAAAAATAAAATATTTCTTAATGTTTGAATATCAGGTTTTAGAAAATGCTCTATGACAGAAATTTTAAAAGAAAAATTATAAGAACCTATAAAACTAAACTACAAAAGTATAAGAACTTAGCCTAGTTATTGCGGTACATACCCAATCTAAACCTTCAACTTACGCTGGAAAGAACTTCTAGGACACAGATAAGCGAAAAGTAAGACAACTCCGTCATAAAAAAAAACCAAAGAGGTTTTCTGCCTCAGCAAAGGGGGCTATCTAAGGTCGCTCTCAGGCTTCCTGACCGGCCATGCGTCCCTAAAATATCACCTCTTCGACATTGGACAAGGTGAGGATCAAACTTGTCGACTATGCAAAGACGAGCCAGAAACGGTTGAACATATACGGTGTAATTGCGTTGCCTGTGACACAAAATTTTTAAAGTTCTTTTGACACCTACCGACATAAAGAAACAAGACCTTGGAGCAATACTAACGTTTATAAAGGACCTACATTTGCCATAAACTTTTGGAGGGCTAAAGTTCCAATAAATCTTATAGCAATAATAATAATAAACCTTCAACTTCACTAGGAAATTAAGACGGAAGGAAAAAATCTTTACGATTACCAGCCAGATGACACAACTGCAGATATTGATGAAGATCCTCCAGTTAAAGTGAAGCTGGTGATGACGAGAATATGTATTAAGTCCACGCACATTCTTGTAGATACTGATTTCTTTTTGGTTCCGGGTTGACAACATACAGATTAATTCACTGCACTTGTGTTTGCCGGTTTACTAAGATCAGCAACTTTCCAAATTAAATCAGAATAGAAAGCAGACATTCCATAAGCATTGCTCAAGGAGATGGCTGTAGTAATTTTTTTGCTAATTCTGCATGGATGGAATTTATGTCTCTTTTGATCAATTCGAGGCCACAGCCGTCCAAGACACCGCAATCAATACATATCCAGACCTCAAACAGTAGTCAAACTTTGCGGCGCCGGCGCCTCGGACACAAGGTTATTGTAAGACTAAAGTTAGAGCGGAGAATATATTGCTTCACCTGATAAACCCGAAACTGCTTTGAGGATACGCATTGAAATTCATTCCAGATATATACTAAATTGAACAATACATATTGCAATGCCTAGTCTACAAACTATCTTGGCTAAACTTTGGGCGAAATATTTATGACTTTGAAACCGAGGTTGCTTATGGACGAGGACTGCAATTAATACCATATCTACCCAAAACTGACCAACGACAAATCTTAGCGCCTCGGCCGCTTGTAACCTTGCCTAAACATAGAACGGAAAATCTTAACTTTTACTTATTAAACTGAGGTTGCTTATTGACGAGTACTGCAACTAATACCATATCTACCCAAAATTTATCCACAAATCATCTAAACTTAGGGCCAAGAATCTATGACTTTTCTTGATTAAACCGAAATTGGACCGCGTTATGCATCACTTGACTAAGCAACAAATGAATAATGTTGAGATAAACGGCATTTTCGTTTTCATCTCTCTAAAAATATAAGACTTCTCAGAATAGACAGGCTCAAACTATTGAAAATTATTTGGTGCCTGTCCATTTTTATCACAGAACACTGATGAGAGCTATCACAAGCAAAGAGGGCATACAGGGTGTTTCTGTAAGTCGTGGTACAAATTTAAGCACTAAAACTAGAGACAATATGATTTCGATTCATGTAAAAATGTTTGATGAAAATAATCTAGAATTTGATTTTGTACTTTTAAACTGGTTTTTATTTTATATAGAATTTAATTCTAACCAGTTTCGGTCCTTGGCTATCTTCAGAGACTCTACAAATAGATTAACATCTCTCATCGTATCCATTTAACAAACAAGTTTCTTAACATTCCTTTTTGTTTTGTTAAAAAACATCACATTAAAGTTGAAATCAGATTATTAGTTACTAACTTACAAAATTAAAGTTTAAAAAGTTGTAAAATGAAATTAAGGACGAAGTGTTACAAGTTTACAGGTTAAAGAGAATCATCATGTGGCTTAAAAATTCACGATTTTGAGTGCGGAAAAGTGACTAACACTAGATTAACTTCAGTTATAAAACTTGTAGTATTATGATAACTAACTTCAGGTTTAAAATGTCAACCTCAATTTTGACATATTTGTAATCTTCATTAAAAATCCTTTAAAGTGAGTACAAGCACGATATATTTATCTTCAATACTAATGAAGTTATGGTCAACTTCCGGTTAAGAATGTCAACGTCAACTTTGACATATTTGTAATCGTCGTGAGAAATCCTTTAAAATGAGTCCAAACGTATATAATACGTTTAATTCCAATATTACTCGAGATATAAGCAAATTCCGGTTTAAAATGTCAATGTCATTTTGACATATTCTTAATTTTTATGAAATGTGTTAAAATTTGTCACAAAAACGGAAATATAATAAAAAAATCAAAAATTAAGGTTGGTATTAATATTTAAAATTGAAATTGCTATCTTCATTGTTGTTAACTTCTTTTTTAATGTTTTTTATTCTAATTTAATGTTTTTTATTCTAATTTTTTGTTTTTTGAGATAAGTGCATCATCTTTGGACTCATTTTAAAGGTCTTTTTAATGAAGATGACAAATATGTCAAAATTGACGTTTCAAACCGGAAGTGATTGTATTTCCATTAATATTAAAGTTAAATATGTCGAGTTTGGACTCATTTTAAAGGATTTTTAATGAAGATGACAAATATGTCAAAATTGACGTTTCAAACCGGAAGTGATTGTATTTCCATTAATATTAAAGTTAAATATGTATGTCGAGTTTGGACTCATTTTAAAAGATTTTTTATGAAGTTGACAAATATATCAAAGTTAAAAGTTGAAAGTTCGAACTTTTTGGTTTTTTTTTGCGTCAAGTTTGGACTAACTTTAAAGGTTATTTTATGAAGATTACGAATATAATAATAAAATTAAAGTTGACATTGACAACTGAAAGTTTTTTTCACGACTAAACCCGTATGTTTTTAGTTCTCGTTCTAGTTTTAGTTCAATAAAAATATACAACATAGTAATATCTTATGCTAACTAGCGCTACCTACCATTGCCACTAGAACTAACACTAAACCGAGAACTAGAAACATTCGGATTTGGTCCCACGTCTCTCAAGACGGCTAAACCCGAATGATTCTAGTTCTAGGTCTTGTGTTAGTTCTAGTTTTAGTGCAATAAAAATCGTATCTAAGTCGGTTCTTAGACGTATGATGCAAATCGAACTTAAAATCGTATAACGTGATTAGCGCTTAGCTTTATCCTTTAAAACAAATAGTATTTTAGGTGTCCGGTATTCTGTATTTTTTCTAAGATAAGTTACACCTTTACCTACCAGACAGCATAAAAATCTCTAAAAACGATAAAATATCGCTTAGTCAAGTGATGTATAACACGGTCCAATTAATACCCTGTCTACCCATAAGTTGTTAACAAATCTCAAGGCCCCCTCCACAAATGACCTTGGTTGAACTTAACGTGGAGAATCTGTGACTACTCCTGATAAAGATGAAACCATTTGCGGCAAAGGAATTCATTGCATATCGATACTAAATTGAATAGCACATATTGCTCTACCCTCTGACTTTTTCTAATTACGCCGAGGTCGTACATAAGGTACTGCAATTAACAACATATCCATCCTAAGCTGGTCAACTGTTCACAGGGTATCGGCCGCAAGCGACCTCGATAAAACTTTGATTGGGGAATCTATACATTTTCTTGATTAAGCCAAAGTCACTTGCGGCTGAGGCGTTGTATTTAGTACCATAATGTATATCGGAAACAAATTCGACTTTGTTTCTGAAGAAACAGAAGACGCACGATTTAACCCGAAAGATTTTAGTTCTAGGCATAGTGTTAGTTCTAGTGATAGTGTTAGCGTCAGTTCTATCATTAGTTCAACATTAGTATTCATTCCACACCGATTGAATAATACATGTTGTCATTATATTTAAATTGAAGATTTCAAACAATCAATCGATGATTATTGCTTACACACTAAAATAGATTATATATGGAGATACCACATACCATATACTAATTTATTATTAACTCTTCCGTGTGGAAGTTAAAAATTTCAATTACTATGTGAGTTGCGCGAATATGATCTAGTTAGTCTTCACGGTTTTACGGTTAATGTTCATATCTTGTAATGACGTACACATGAACGGCAGTCCACGCGGAAGAGTTAATAATACAAAATAAGAACTAAGCTACTCAATAAATTAAAGAGTAAAGAGGTTTGTAACTCTTATTAAAAGAAAGCGACTACAACCTCTGACAAGAATATATGTAAAAACGTCTTTATATACTTTATTTAAGTAAGAACATGTGTTAACTATTTTACAGCAAGAGAACACATTTAAAATTTTTTTTGGTACAAAGCACTAATGTGTTTTAACACTTCTACTTCACAACTGTAAAAACTTTAAATTAATTAAAGACTTTGTAATTAACACCTTCGCTAAAACTCTTTCTTTATAATAAAAAAATATTTGTAATAATGGAGTTTAATGAAACGTTTAAAACCCATTTCAATTAAATAATAAAATCAATTAATTTAAGAAATAATGCGATTTTAAAAGCGTTTATGGAAACAACACAACTATTTCAATTAAAATACTCGGTAATTTTAATTTAAACTCTGTGAAGTAAATCTGTGCAGAATCAGATACCGCCAACAAAAAAAATTCAATGAAAAAGAGCTCTGACACCGTTTAGTAATCGTTTTTTTTTCTAACTCAGGATCGTTGGAAGCCAACAATTTCAATTTCCTAAAAGCGTCAACCACTGGTAACGACGGGAAATGCAGGAATTTCATCTGATGGTCAGCCCTCGACATTCCCACCGATTTTAGAATCTCAATGAAGGAACTCACCTGTGTGACAATGGTGGCTACGGTTTGTTCAGTGTACTCGTGCCTGCTCGCCAAGTATGTCAAAACATCAGCCCCTTGGAGTTTCTCCTGTATGAAAACAGCCACATCGTTGGTGCGGTAAGCTTCCAACAATCCGGCGATCCTCTCGTGCCGTAGCGAACGCAAAGCGGCAAATTCTCCATCGACTTCTGTCGCATTGGCTCCGAGGTCCATTACCTTCGCCACGACGATAGTGTCGGTGCGCTTATCGACAGCCTTCAGAACTGCTGAGAAGCGGCCCCTGCACATTAAACGGGTAACGTCACAATAAAGGGTAAGTCGTAAAGTGGAACGGGTGTTTTTATTGCGGGATTCGACATCCTCCGGGATAGATAAGAGTAAGATTGGTGACTAAAACGAGCAAAGTAATCGTTACTTGGATGGAAAACTTAATGGAAAGTTTTAGATTTTATCATTCTAGGTTATACGAGTAATAGTTTTAAAGTTTGAATATCAAAAATTTTGAAATAAATCCGTTTTCCTTTTCACTCAACAACAATGTAACACAATGACTATGCATTTTCAAAAGCGAGAAATTTAATAGCACACTCGCCGCGTAAAACGTCGAGTTTCACACTCATATCGCACGATGTCCTTTATATTCGTGGCATGCAGAATGTATTTCGTATACAATACCGTGATATTTCTGAAATGAACTCGTAACGTTCTTGCGCGTTGCCCTGGATCCAATCCACCGGATTCGTTTCGAAGCTATAATTCGGCCTAGAGTTAGGGTCGACCTGGGGCGGCTGACCACTGTCCGTGTAGTTCTGTAGATGCATCATGGCTTTGCTTAATTGAATCTTAGGGGCTCCTGCAATATTCACCCCACAGCTTTAAATCAACCACTATTTAATTTTCTTAATTCCACTTACCCGCCGGCTTAGTAATTACAACTTGCGAAGCGACACCTGGTTCACTCCACCCGATACTATTCTTTGCAGATAATCTAAAGATATAACTTTCACCTGGTTTTAAACCGGTCATTAAATAAAATTCATGATCAATATTATAAGCTTGTTCCGTCCATTCGGTATCGTTGGCTAATTTATATTGCAAGCTGTAGCATTGGACAGGAGCGTGTCCGTCAAATTTGGGTTGTTTCCAAATTAAAAGGGCCTCAGTGTCGGATGTTTGGGTTACTTCTGGAGAATCGGGTTCATCGGGAACCAAGCCCAAAACTATTCGTGTTCTTACTACGGTTTGCCCAATTTTATTCCTTGCTACAACTTTATAGGTTCCTAAATCAAAGCTTAAAGCTGGGCAAAATTTGATATGAGATCTTCCATCAGAATCGGTTTCTATTTTAATTCTATGAGAATCTGCGATGATTGCATCATTTCTATCATTAAAAAAGTAATTTAGTAATAAAACAATGTTATCTTCACATAAACTCATTAAATACATACTTGAACCATTGCACAATTGGTGTTGGGTCACCAACAGCATAACAAGACATTTCTAAATCTTTTCCTTCTTGCATCGCAGCCATATCAGGTTTCTCTCTAAAGAATGGTAATCGACCTTCGTGTCTACTCTCTAAGAAAGCTTCAGCTTCCGCATATGTATCTAATCTTGCACCGATTTCGTGACGTAACCTCCTTATACTATAACCAGTATCTCCAGCTCCATACTTTTGAATTCTTGCTTTACGTTCATCGTCAATTTCTTCGTCCATGATATCGGTAAATCTTCTGCGTTCTCGGATTGAAGGCGCCTAAAAGTGTCTTAAAAATTAACTAAACTACCCCTATATTATTTCAATTTACCCTCCAATCATAGCCATTATCGTCCGAAACAATAAGTCCAGCTCCCGGTCCTCTGCTTGCAGCAACTTTCATGTATTCACGAATTCTTACTGGGAAATCAACATCGCGTAATTGAAGAAGATATGTATCAGGTCCACTTTGATAACTTAAAGGAAAGAATTATTAAGAATGTAAAAAAGTTTTTTTAATCAATACTTACTGACTCTCAGATTTAAAAGCGCCAATTTCATAGTTAAGTGGTGACCTACTGGGAATTTGATCTTCCCATGTTGCAGGTTTTCTGGGTGTTGGTTCGGGTTGGGGTAATGATGGAGGAGGGGTGTATCTTTCTCCCGGTGGATAAACCATGCGAGAAGGATGCGTAAATGCTCCTTCTAAAGGTCTTCTTCTATAAATATTTTTACAAGAAGCATTATCGTACCATTCTCTATAGAAAACGAAGTAATCTCTGAGATATTTAGTAGAAATTTGGTACTCATCTTGCCATAACTTATCGCATCTTTCCAACCATGGATGACGTAAAGCGGTGTGTACGTCCATTCTACCTTCAGCTTGGTAAACCAAAAGTTTAGTGATAAAATCTCTCGCTTCAAAACTCATATGTTTCCACCAACTCTCTTCAAACTCCCATTTTCCTTCTTGGATCTTAATCAAAGTTTCTTTGTCTCTTTCTCCACGGAACGGAGATATACCAGATAACAAAATGTATGTGATGATACCAATACTCCACATATCATGAGGCAGACCAGTTCCTTCACCTTTAGCACATTCCGGCGAAACGTATTCAGGAACACCATATTTCAACGGCATCAATCTTCCCATGCTTATTCTCCTGCTTAATCCAAAGTCCGTGATTTTCAAACTATCGCTTCCAGGATGAGACAACAAAAGATCTCCAATCTAATAAAAAAAAAATTAAATTGATGTAATTAAAAAAATTAATATTACATACATTAAGACCCATGTGTCCAAATCCTTTTTCATGCATATATTCCAATCCTTCTAACATTTGTCGAACATATCCAGCAATTTCACTTTCAGTGTAATAGTCTCTCTTCAATAAGTAATCCTTAACCAGCTCACCACCACCACAAAGTTCCATAACCAACGTCAGAGAATCATCAGTTTCGTAAGCATCGTGCAATGATACCAGTTTGCGATGACGCAATTGATTCATCACGTCCAACTCGTTGTACATAAACGGTCTCAAATCTCCCCGTCCATGCATTAATTTAGCGGCGTAATTTCTGCCATTCAAACGTTCAACAGCGTGGTATGTGATTCCTTGAGTACCTCTGCCCAATTCATCGCCCAAATCGTAACCATGATCGAATGGAGTGCGTTTAGCTTTAATTGGTGATAAGTTATTATATGTTCTAATGTTAAATTCTAAGTCGTTTTCTTCGACATGAAGCATAGCACTGCTTGAAATGGTTCCAGCAACATTTCTTGCGCTTACAGAGTATAAACCTTCATCTTTTAAGATTGCGTCGTTAATGATAAGGATATGTGTGTCAGGTTCTAAATATTGAATTTTTGTTCTTGAGGATGTAGCTAATGGCTTCCAGTCTTTATACCATTTAACTTCTGGGTATGGTACTCCAACAATTCTACAACAAAACTTAGCTTTTCCTCTCATCATAACATACTCAATATCTGGTCTTTGAATAAACATTGGAAGCTCGGCGATTTCTAATCTTATTCTTTGCCTAGCTTCGCCATGCTCATTTATAGCGACTGCTTCGTACCATCCTACATCTCTCTCTAACATTTTGTTTATAAATAAGGTTGCTTGCCCATTTCTGGTGTAGCTCATATCGAATCTTCCACCACTTTCAATGGGAATATCATTGAAATAATACGTCATTTTAGGTTTTGGATAACCGTAAACGAACCAGAACATGTTGGTGTTTTGATCTTTCACCCCATAAGAGGTGTCGTGTTCTCTTCTTAAGAAACGAGGTGGTTGTGCCATGTTATCGTGGGGAGGTCGATCGATATCGAAGTCTTTGGGGAAATAGGGAGAGGTATCTGGACGGAAATCGATTCCTGGAGGAAGATATGGCATGAATTTAGGTGGTTCAGGTTCTAATTTCTGTCTATGTGTTAAAGCAAACGGCGAAGGGTCGCTTATTCCGTATTTATTTTCAACGCGTATTCTAAATTTGTAATCTCTAAATGGTTCCAAGTTGCCAACATCGCAAACACATCCTCTGATACCGGAACGAACTGTAAACCAATCTCCATGTGGTAATTCCAACATTTCTAATTGATAAGTAACAGGTGCTCTTGGTCCTGATGGAATAGATGGTTTCCAAGATATAGTACATCTTCTGTCTGTCATGCGAGAAATAATTGGTGCATCCGATAACGGTATGGGAGCCCCACTTTTCTTGTATTTATCGTAATCAGTGTATTGGTCAGTCATTGGGCGTTTTGGTCGAGCGTCCATTTCATCAAATCTTAATTGAGCATGGCAAATGTCTTCTCCGTGTTCATTAAAGATTTTGCAAGAATATTTTCCTAAATCATCTTGATCCACGCCAGCAATTGTTAATCTAAGCAGTCCAGATGTTTCAACCATGCGAATTCTATCAGACGGGAATAATTTTTCATCGTTTCTGTACCATTGCACAGATGGTTCTGGTGTTCCCGCTGCACAAGCTGTAAATTTGGCAGTCATACCTTTGTACAATTCAGTATCACCAAGGCGCTTCATAAAGTATGGTGCTTCAACTTTCTGTGGTGTTTTACTAGAATAAAACAATTACAATTTATTTTATTTTAAAATGTTATATACTCACATTTCTTTGACGACTTCTAATTTAGCTTCGCAAATATCTTGTCCTTCTTTATTGGTTGCTACAGCTTTGTAAATTCCTCCATCTTCAATTGTGGAATTGTTTACGTACAAACAACAAACATCTCCATCTCTTTTAATGCGATACTTATCTGTTTCGTGGAGAGGTTTATCATCTTTAAACCATTGCACCTCAGGATATGGTACACCTGATACTCTTGCGATGAATTTTGCGTCTCTTGTAGGAAGCTAAGAAAAGATTGTTACTCAACGAAAACAAGATATTAATGACTTACTTGTTGTAAATCAGTAAATCTTTGTGTAAATTTAGGTGGTGCAAACACTTTATGAACGGTTGCTTTTCCAGATGTTGTATCTTTACCAAGGGGATTTGAAAGAGTAACGGCGTAGTGACCAGCATCAGATGGAATCGCTTTATCAATCACCAAACCAACTTTTCTTCCATCGCAGGTTAACATGATTCTATCTGAAGGCACGATTGGTTGATCATCTTTAGTCCACGCAACGCTAGGAATGGGATTGGCTGTAAATGGAACTTCTAATTTTAATTGTTCTCCCTCATCAGTAATAACATCTTTCAATTGGTGTAAGAATAAGGGTCTTTCTTCCGGTTGGTCTTGTTTGGTGGCTGGTTTAACAGTTAATGGAGCATACGTTTCCGCTTCACCAGCTTCGTTAGAAGCAATTGCTCTATAAGTGAGAGCGTCTTGATCTTGATGGCATGCTTCAAGCACCAAGATGCTTGTGCCATCGGGTAAATCGGTAAGTTTAACGTGCTTTCCATCGGGAACGATTTCAGCACCGTTTCTAACCCAGGAGATTTTAGGTTGAGGAAATCCGCTTGCTTTAACTTCAAATTTAACAGGGAATCCTTCAACTACTTCTTGAGGTACAAGTCTGGTTATAAATTCTGGTCTCGTTGGTCTTCTTTCAGTTTCAACATTAGCCTCTCCAGTTACATCTCCTAATTTATTCGAGACAATCAGAGTGTATTTTCCTGCATTTTCAGGTTTAACGGCATCGACAACCAAAGCAATTTTTCCATCCGGGTGGTGTTCAAGATGGATATTTGATGAAGGTCTAACTGGAAGACCATCTTTTAACCATTTAATTTCAGGTGGAGGATAAGCAGAAACCATCGCTTCTAATCTTAAAGGTTCGCCAATGGTTAATTTTTGGTCTTTAATGCATTTTGTGAATTTGGGCCTCTGAGGGTTTGGAGTTACAGCGACTGCACATAAAGCTGCGGATTCACCGTTGACATTTTTTACGACAATTTTGTAAGCTCCACTATCAGCTGGAGTGATTTTATCAATGTGTAGCCTGATATTTCCATCTGGAAGGAGTTCGGTTTTGATTCTTTCGTTTTCTGGGGAGATTTCTTCTCCATCTTTATACCATTTCATCTAAAACATAAAATTATAACAACATGATTAAGTACGATAATTTTGTCTTACAGTTGGTTTTGGGCTTCCTGTTACTTTGGCTTTCAAAGTTAATGGTTCACCTTCATTAACATCAAGATTTCTAATTAATCGTAATGAGAAAGATGGTGGTGTTTGCGTCATGTGTATTACAGCGTGTGTTTCAACATCGCCCACAACGTTAACAGCTGTTACTTTGTACTGAAAATAAATCAATTAGAAAAAAATATTATTTTGAAATTACATTATATACAATTCCCGCATCTTTTTCTCCAAAATCTGTAATTGTTAAATAACTACTGACTTGGGACTCAGTGTTGGCAACTATTTTCATTTCTCCCAAGGCGGATCCTTCTTCAATAACTTTATCGTTTAAGAACCAAGTTATAGTTGGTCTTGGGAGACCATCGGCTCTAACCATTAAAGTAATTTCGCCACCATGTTCAACTTGACCGTCATTTAAACCAGTAATGAATTTCGGTCTTTCCGCTATAATGTAAAATAAATTAGAATCTACGTTTTTTACAAATATTTATAAGCAAATATTTTAAAAGGCTTTACAAAAAATTACTGAGTTATGGCAATTAAATCTAAAAATAAATGTAATAAAAAAATGTTTCAATTTTCAGGATATTTAAGCGTTTTTAAAGTTTTGTACAAGTTTGCAAAAGCTATTAGGGAAAAAAGCAAATATAAAACAAAATGCCTTTGCTTTTTAAGCAAAACAGCACTTACAAGTTGGTTCCATCTCTTCTGCAAAAATCATTATAATTTTCAATAAAGTTATTGTTTAAATTAATTGAATTCAATTTGATGTGAATCAAAAAATACTTACTGACAACTTTAAGTCGACCTTCAGAACTATCTTCGCCCAAATTGTTTTTGGCAATAACTTTATAGTACCCTTCATCGCCTAATTTTACCGTTTTAAATCGAAGGATGTAAACTTCGTTGGCAACATCTTCAATGATTTCAATATCTTCAGTTGGTTCTACAACATTATCATTGCGCGTCCTAAAAAATAAAAACGATATCAATACAAACTTTGATTAAAATTAAAGAATCAATTACCAAATAACAGATGGAATAGGATTTGATTGAATAACTGTTTTAAATTCAGCAGAAAATCCTGGTACAACTTTAATATCTTCGGGCCCTTTAATTTCAGGGCGAAGAATAACATTTAGAACACCACTACTTTCAATTACACCCCATTTATTTTTAGCTTTAATTGTGTAAGTTCCACCATTTTCTCGTTCACCTACATTTAAACAAATATATTTTAATATTAAGCTCAATTTAGACATCTTTAAAAATTTACATCTCGGAATAGTTAAACTGTAAGTGCACTCTTTCAAATCATCCTCAATTTCGCGATCTTCTGATTCCAAAATGATTTTGTACTTCTCAAATTCATCAGCAGTCATTTCTTTTCCATTGAAATACCAGGTAACATCCGGAACTGGATCACCGATAATTATAGCTTTCATTGTAGCTGTATTTTTCTTCACTATACTTTGATCTTTAAGACCTTCGCCTTCTTTAACTTTAGGTCGACGGAATTCACCTTCCGCTATTTATTTCAGTAATAATTATTAAAAATGTAAATAATTTAATGATTATACAGGCCGACAAAATTTTGTACCAATCAGAATATAAATATGTCTAATAAGGTTTTCAATTTTGAATATGTTACATTTGTAAGCATCAGGATAGAGCGATCAATTTTTTCAAAACGTATTTTGTTGCCACTTAATTCTACTTTCCCTATTGAGTTTTGACTATAAATCGAGTTCTTCGCTTTCCTCTTACATAGAACCGTAATTATATATACCAGAAATTCATAATGTCTTTAAAATAACACGAACTCTTTCTACAAGTAAAACACATGATCTAGTAAATCCTTGATAACTATCACGAAACGGTATCTACGTTCTGTCCAGGTACCTACTAGGTGGTGCAACTAATGTTATGTCATCAACTGCGATCAATTGGTTGCCAGTTTGTTGTAAATGAAAAAATAGGGCTCTGTTTTCAAGGAAAGTTTAAGGTGTAAAATTAGTTAACTTAATTTAAAAAAATTATGTCAATCAAATCACTCCCTCCCGAGTTGATGTACATTTCTGCTCATTTTACAGCAGTGTGAGTTGTTGCTAGCAAACAATCTGGGTCCAAATTGTCGATATTTTTTTGCATGTTGGCTTTCAAGACTTATAAAGTTTGTGGTTTGTTGCAACAAATGCAAATTTTCAAACACAAAGGGTTATCATACGGGTGAATACTTGAGAACCAACGCAGCAACCTACACAAAAAAAAATCGACCTTTCGAGCACTCTCCAACTATTGGTGATGCCGTCAGCGACTTCAAAAAAATAGGGATCAATTTCTTTTTAATAGGTCACCAAACAGTCACAGTCACAGTCACAAAATGGTATTCGTCAGTTATGATTTTGAATACGAAATCACATCGTCTTCTTACACCAGGTTTAATAAAACGTGGTGTAACCTCACTTGATTGTCGGCAGGCAAAATCGTTTGAACTTTGTACGAAAACATTTTCAGGTCTTTCACTAAAATTCGACGTAACGAATGTGTTCTGCTGACGAGTTGTGTACATGGTTTTCTCGTTGATGTTTAAAGACTCACTCGGAAGTCCTCGGCCATAGCACCCATATTCTCAGTATTACAATGTTTTGTAACTCAACAACTCCAATATATCCAGTTTGCAGGAGATGCTTAACTAAACGCTTAATTGTTGACGTACATAGTGCAAGACAACAAGGAAAGCAACATTAAAATTCATGCTGCATTAAAACAGCAAACCGGAAATTTGAGAAATAAGCAGTAACAATAATTCAGCGTTTTTCAGATGTGTAGCACTACACTGCTTGTAGTCATCTAATTTTCTACAACATAAATGTCAAAGCACAATAGTGTTTGACGCTATTTGCAAAAATTATGACACTTTCACATTATGTCATTACTTTTGCCCTACATTGTATACAAGCCCATAATATCGACTAATGATACATATCACTGTGGTTACGAGACCCTACTGGAACCACGTCTTACTAACAACTTTCTTGAACATCTGAAGCACCAATAACACTTAATAAAGTCCGGCACATTTTCAGTTAGTCCTGTCCAAAATATAAAAAATACGTCCCAGAGGAGATGGCAAAACGAATGTTGTTCGCCATAAAAAAATTAGATAAAAGTAAGTATTATGACAGTATGCAGTCTTAACCAATTGCATAAACGACAATCATTATCACTTCTATTTCAAGTGGAAAAGTGAAAAAACTTTACAACAGCCGTTTGCAATCCAAGAGTGTTTAAAAAATTAAAGGAAAATAAATATACCTTGGAAATTTAAGACTTTAAATAAATTCAAAATAAATTGATATGCGCTGTAATTGTAATACATCATTTTCAAAAGGATTCTCATAATATTAATTTGATCTAAAAATCAAATCACAGTCTCTCAATCAAATTACAGATTATCAGAGCCCTGGCATTACTGGCTGTGGATGAGTCTAGGTATCCTTACAAAACACTCTTTTGTAAATTTTGCGATACTCCCAAAAAGACGCAATCCTGGATCCCAAGTCCTGTTTATTGAACGTGAAAGATTTTTGGGTAGCATTCTTGTTAATATGTTCAAGATTTCTTATGGTCGCTTCGTGGTGTAAACAGTATAACAACTGTTCGAAACTACATTTGCGACTGCATTTGGAATCCAGGATATGTTGAATTTAATCTCCTGTAAGCTTCTTTTTTCCTGTCTTTCAGCATTCGAAACCATAACGGTCTGTTATACATTTGCAAGGTACAGTCGATCTTTCAAGGATACGGCAAACCCTCAAATTGATTAATATGATACAAAAAATGGCGGAAATATTATTTCAGCTTGCACCCGTTTGGAACACAACATGTTTCTCCCGGTTAGGACAAGTAATCAGTTTTTGTTGTATAATGGAAAGCATGACGTCCCTGTAGTAAATGAGTTAACTAGAATATTCGCCCAGAATATACTGTGTCCTATAGTCGATACTGGTTGAACCAAGTAGTCTTTTTACAATGTACTCTTCTCGAATTTTCAGTTTCAGATGTATCAGGTATTCTTCCTAATATACGTTGGAGATGATAACATCGTCAAAATTTCCTCTTAGTATTTCTATAAAACCTGAAAAAATCTTGTGTCGCTACCTTTTATCATATTGCTGAGGTGAAATCACTGCATGGCACGAAATAGGGTTTCTGACCTAATGGTTGTTTTTGTAAGTTGAAATTCGCGAAAGGAATATAGCCCCCCGGTAGTGAGAACTGCTCCGAATCGGGCAATCATTCCTCCTCGAGGATGATAGAATAATGTCCAGGAAGTATTAGAAACTCTAAGAAAATGATGATATCATTTTACATTGACACCAATTGATCGGGATCTGAAAGTTATCACGCTGCAAATCTCAACAGCTTACATGAAAACCAATTACTCTTACATACGAGCCAGATGTTTTTCATGGCGTCAAACTGTGGGCATACGCATACCTGGAAAACATTTACTTATCCACTTTATCGTATCTCAGGAGTGATCAAAATCTCTCAGTTGCATGTTTTTGTTTGGATAAAATGGTGGCAATGTACGGCATATGGTTTGTGCGTAACTATATCCTTTAAGATTACCATATACCTAGAGATAATACTACAGCTGATGAACAGCGGTTTATGTTATCACCATTATCAAGGTGGTATTAAATGTATTTCATTAAAATCCTGTAAATATAGGATTGAAGTTTGCTGGATTTGCGATTGTGGTGCAGCATATTCTATAATAGGTCAAATATATAATGAAATTCTTCCAAACAGCAAGATTTGCTGCAACCTTTTGAAAAGAATTGGTCACCTACAAAAGATTAAGTTTAATGCAGCATTGTTTGAATCCGCAACAATATTACAAGGCGACATTTTCCACTCAATTTCCTCTTTTTTAAGACACTCAAATATTTCAGTTGTCTCTATTTGGTTTTTAAAAATATGGTGGAATATTGAAAAAATCGTTAGAATTTGATGCAAGCATTTCTCATAAAAGCGCTAATATCTCTTCTAGATGTTTAAACTGAAAATCATCCTTTATCTATAAATGTCACCAATTCAATCAAATAAGTCAAAAATTCAAGAATACCTTGATCACAATCTGAAACATAAAACCTCGTCTCAAACGGAATCTTTCCAAAGGATAAGAACTTCTTAACTCAACTTCATCAACCTTATCAACAACTAAAAATATTGCAACTAAACCAGAATTGTTAAGATTCAGATTCGCGCCATTTACTACAGTCTCACTTCCATCTCTCAATTAAACCCGATCCTTAATCAAAAAATATCTCAATCGAACGTCATAAGCAATTCAGGAATACCGTAAGCCGGTTTTTAACGAACTGCATAATATATCTTAAAAAATTCATTCTAAAGGATAAGAATTTTTAAACAAAACGTCGTTCTTAACACAATAATATCTCAATCTAACTCATCATAGGCCAAAATATGTCGCAACCCAACCATTATTTTATCTCTAATTTCTTTATCTTCTGTCTTATTTTTGAATTATTCTTAAAGTCCTTTTATTTTGTACTAAAATTAGAGCTAATACTAGAATTAACACTAGAATTATCACTAGAACTAATCGTAGTCCTAGAACTAGTAACTTTCGTGCAATTTTTGAAAAAGCATTTGACTTTTCGGATGTCAAACGTCTTCTTCTGAGTTTTAATTTATTTTTATCAATTTATATTCGTTATTTAAATTGTTTATTTCTGTATTATCAAACCTACAATGTTTGATATTCACGTTCTTTCTTCATACTTTATTTAGCCATCGTTCGCCCTATTTCATTCTTTTATTTTCATAACAGTAGCTTTCTGAATACTTTTTGGTTTAATTTTCATTACATTTACCTACTCAAGGGACAAATTGTGTACAAAGACTCATTTATGAACATTTTTTAACATTTTAGAACACGTTCATTGTTTAAACGATGACCTTCATGTAAACATATCACGAGATATGACCCTTAAATACAATATCCCTTCAATATAGTAGCATTGTTTATTAAAAAATATTTAAAAGAAAGTAAAGAATAAATTTAGAGAACCGATTTCTCTATGAAGTAAATATGGATATAAATCATTAATAATGAATTTTCATCAGAAATTTATAATTGGTACTATGATTTTGGATTTACCAAATTTTTCTCGGCCTTGTATAATAATTTTTCAACTTACGAATTATATCTAATTTAGCTTGATGTTTAGCTTCTCCAACTGGATTACTTAAAACACATTGATAAACTCCAGCATCTGATGGTTCTAACTTTTTAATATCAAGCCTAAACTCTTCACCTTTTTGAGTCATCGTAAATTTGGGCGATTTAGGTGTGATGACTTTACCATCAACGGTCCATGTAGCTGTAGGTGGAGGATTCGCCGTACCTCTCACCATATAAGAAACTCCCAAAGATTCATATTGAGATCTATCTTTCATATTTGTGTCCGTAATCACGGGTAGTGCTAAACAAAAATAATAAAGTCAAAAACATTCTTAGTTTTATTACGATTACGATTGAGATTATTAATTATTATTATGTGATTATTTATTTATACTTTCTTTTAGTTTTTAATAATAATCTTTTTTTAATTAAATTAGATTACTTACCATCTGAAAAAGAAAAGTACAAAAATTGTCAAAAAAATATGTAGGGATACTTACTATTATAGTATTGTCCCAAAAATAAAAATAGCACGATGAACGTTGCTCAAAAAAGGAGTTAGACAAGAAACACAAAAAGCACAAAAAAACGAAATCGCAAGTTGGTGAAACTTATGGGAGATCGACGTGCTAAACTTGTAAGTCTGTAAGTGTATTATAGGAATGTAGTGTAAAATTACTAAAAATGTTTAAAGATAATAATAGTGCTTGCAATGTAATATAAGTGACAGAAATAGAAGATTTTTGAAGTGGTGAAAAACTATACCTTGAGGACCCGTTTCTTCAACTTTAACATCTTCGATTAAACTTCTTTGTCTTTTTGCCCTATTCAATAATTCTTCAACGTCCTCATCCAATTCATCATCACCCGATTTAATACCTTTCTGACTTTCAGTAACTTTAATGGTCGTTGTTGAACTTTTTCGTCTACTTTTATTGATGTCATGTTCTACTTGGACTGCTTCTTCGGTTGTCGCTACAATACTCTTTCTTGGTTTATTACTAACATCTTTCATTTTCGATTTTTTGGGTTCTTCAGTATGTTCTTCAACAATTTCCTCGGTTGTAGCGACAACACTTACTTGAGGCTTCACCTTTATTTCTTTGACATCACTTACTTGAGACTCTTCTTTATCTTGTATAGTAGCCTCTTCAGTTGTAGCTACAACGCTTCTTTGAGATTTAACTTTAATGTCTTTTACGTCAGATATTTCATGAGGCTTTTCTATTTCTTCAATTTCTACTTCTTCAGTTGTGGCGACTTTACTCTGTCTTCGTTTTGGGGTAATATCTTCAGTGCTTACCTTTTTAGATTGTTCCGTTTCAACAATATCAATTTCTTCAATTTGTACCGATTTTAATCGCTTAGGTTTTGGTGTTTTAACCTCTTCGGCATCTTCTACACCTTGTTGGGATTTGTTATCAATTTCGTTTACTGTAATACCATAAGTTGTATCTGTGTTTATCAAAGAAAGTGTAAAAAGCAGTATGCGTGAACGATACATTAAGCAAAAAGCGATAAGCATTGAACAACACAACCCCAAAGTGTGGAGTTTGCTGAAAATTATTTTCAATAGTTTTTCTTTTTGTTCTGTTAGTGACCTGAATAGCTGAGTTTTGATAATAGTTACCTTGCGCCTCTTTGGGTTCTTCAATTACTTCTTCGATTTCTACTTTATCATCGTATTTAGCGGTCATTTCTTCCTCTTCTATGACCTCTACAATAAGTTTTTTTGGGGGTTCTTCGTTAACTTCTTCGGCGTCTGTATGTGTTACTTCTGTAATGTTATGTTTGTAGTAATGTAGTGTTAATAATAATATAGTGTTGTAATAAAATTGTAGTGTTTCAAAAAGCTGGGTACAAAAAATGTTTGTCCTAAAAACATTTTAGACAAAAAATTTAACACTAATCAAAAACACAATTGGGGCAAAATTATACGCACCAAGATGAAGAAAAATTATGAAAGATTTCGAATCAAAAAAAAAATTTGCACTCACTCTGAACAGTAACAAAACTCTTGCTACTTATGGTGCCCAAAGAATTAGTAACTTGAACTTCATACTCTCCTTCTTCTTCATATTTGATTAAATTAACTGTAAGATTATAAGTTTCATTTCGTTGGGTGTCTCTGCTGATTTTAATCCTTGCATCCGCTGAAACTTCATTTCCATTCCTTAACCATTTCACCGTTGGTTCCGGGCAAGCTTCCACCTCAACTTCTAAATGAAGAGTAGCACCTTCCTCCACTGTTGTATCTTTAAGATGTTTTATAATCCTCGGTTTACCTTAAAAATTAACACATAAGAAAATATTTCTAATTTTCATTAAGCCATACAATTCACTGTTAATTTAGCACTCGTTTCCGTTCCACCCAATTCATTAACTAGTTTACAAGAATAAACCCCGGAAAGTTCCGTTGTAACTTCTTTAATAACAAGTTGCACTCCATCATCAGATTCAACTCTGGTAAATTCAGATCTTGTTTCGCTAAGTTCCATTTCGTCCAAGAACCACTTTACTTTTGGTTTTGGGTAAGCCTCAACTTTAACGTCTAAAGTAACATCTTTGTCATGCTCAGTTACTGTCATATCTGTCAATGGTTTTAAAATTCGTGGAGCTGTTTTAACATCGACACGAACTTCATCATCGACTGAACCATGAATGTTTTTAGCGCGACATTTGTAAGAAGCCGAATCTGTGGTTACAGCTCCAGATATCTTTAATATGTAAGTGTTGCCATCGTTTTCAATGAGATAATGATCAGAGGATGAAATTTCTTGGCCATCTTTAAACCTAAAAAAATGTGTTAACACAAGAATTTGAAAATAAGTTGAAATGATCACCATGAAATTTCTGGTACTGGTTCTGATTCTAATGTAAGACTCATAACCACAAGATCTTGTTTTGAACACACAATATGTTCTCCAATTTTCTTTAAAACTCTCGGTTTTGTGTAAACGTTGGTGTTCCAAAATTTGGAAACTTGAGCAACGCTGTTACTAGCAACAACTGAGTAAGAACCAGAATCACTAAGTACGGTTTTTTCAACTATTAAAGTATGAGTATCTCCTTCTTCCGTAATCTTAGATCGACCGGTTGATTTAATTTCTTTTCCATCCTTATAAAATTGTATGGTTGGTTTTGGAATACCATCAACTTGGACTGACATTTTCAATGTTTGATCAACAGCTATTGAAATATCTTCAACTTTAGATTTAAAGCTTGGTGGAGCTTGGACGGTAAGAACCATCTCGCGGATGTCTTGACCCAATTCATTCTCAGCTGTAATTTCGTACTTTCCAGCATCAGCAGCTTGAACATTCTTAATAACCACCGATAAACTTTCTTCGTCTTCGTATAAGAACTTAACCTTATTTCCTGCTTCAACTGGTTTTCCTTCGTGAGATAACTTCACTTTTGGTTTAGGGAAACCTTTTACTTGCAACTCCAACATTGCTTGACCACCTGCTACAGCTAATGCTTCACGGTGTTCAATAACTAATGATGGTTTTTCTGGTTCGCGATGTAATTCAACAATTTGACCTAAACCATATTAATTAGAATATATTTTGAGAAACGTTTTAAAGAAAATTACCTTGAACTGTAAGTTCTGCGCTACAACTAATATGACCAGTTGTTGTTTGAGCAACACAAGTGTATAAACCAGCATCTTCAGGTCTTACGTGCTGGAAAATGAGAGCTAAAGAATCTTCATCATCTCCCATAAGTACTTTGAAACGTTCTTCTGGGTCAAATTCTTTGCCATCTTTCCTCCATGCAAAACTGGGTTTTTCTCCAGGCGGAAGAATTCCTTCTTTATCAATAACATCATCAAAGACTCGTTTAGTCTCTGCAATATAAAAGAAGTTTGTTAAAAAAAAACCTTGTTTCAGTATACAATTTTATTTTACCTGTTACAGTAAGTTTTGCTTCACAACTTGCTTCACCATAATTATTAACAGCGACACATCTGTAATTACCAGCGTCAGAACCTTTTACTTCAGGAATAACCAACTCGTAATAACCAGTTTGTTCAAGATCTTTGATTGCACGTATTCTTTCATTGGTATCAGAAATTTTAACATTATCTTTAAAGCTAAAATAAAATCAAAATAAATAATTGATTTGAACAAAAAAATTTTTAAACATACAAAGTGACTTCTGGGTGAGGATCACCTTTGACTTTGATCATGAAACGAAGATAAGTATCTTCAAGGAGTTCAGTATCCCTTAGTTGAACTTCAAAGTGTGGTTTATGCAATTCTTCTTCGGTTGCTAAAGAAACATTATTTGTTAGAGAAAAAGAAATAATAAAGTTTTTAAATTGATATTTTAAAATAATGAAACATTTAATATTTCAATTAGACATCACAGTTTTTTTTTAAGTTTTACTAACGTCTATGAATGAAAATTCTTGTAGAACAAGTAGATTTTCCTTTAGCATTAGTAGCAACAGCCGTATATAAACCACTGTCTTTTTCGACGGTATCTTTAATTTCTAATCGCCAGATTGTATGTTCTTCCCGTGATGTTACAATGAAACGCTTATCTTGGAAATGAATGGCATCGTAATCTTTTAAGAAAATTACGCTATCGGGAGTTTCTGCTAAAGCTACTTCTAAATAAAGTCTGCAGCCAGCTATAAGAAGAAGTTAATAAGCAGCTAATAATAAAAATAGCAGTTAATACGACATGTTTCTATCCCTTTCTTATTGTTTTAGTACAATGATATAATATAAAATAAGGAACAAGCCTTAGAATGATAATCAGAATGTTGAATATTTATATAAACTTTGGAAACTTTGGCAAAGTTTCAAATTGGGTGAAAATTCGTTTTATTAGTCGTTCATCTCAAATAATGTACTCATATTCCAATAGATAGAACTGTCATACCACTTGTGCGAATAAGAATATGATTACCTAAACGGTATTCATGAATCAAGATCGTGTCAAAACTCACAAAAATTAGTGTTTGCAAAAATGTTATTAAGAGAGCAACATTTTTCTGGAACATTTTAGTTTTACTCAAACATGTCGAGAATATGGAAACATTCGTAAGTAATTCCATGAACATACTCTATCAAGAGTAGCTGTTCAAAGTTTTTTAAGTTATGTTCTAAAAATTATATCGTTGTATATAAGAGTGGAAAATCTCTGGTCAACATTGTACTACTATAAGATAGCCGATGAGCTGATTTAGACGATCTTCAAAAGTGGAAGGTTATGCAGAGATGTTCTGCATCCTAACGCTTTCCTGGTATTAAGCCAATATATGTCTAGTTTTTCTCTCCACATTTTACCACTAACAGTAAGTAAGTTGCTTAAAGGCAAACCACAACTGTCCATACACACTAACCTGAAATATCTCTGCAGTAGATCATTATAAACTATTTTTCAGTATTTATACTATTGTTTGTAGACGAAAAGATATCGTCTAAAAACGCCAATATGAGACTACATCCATGTCATTGCAATTATAAAATTGTTTGAGTTACTGAGACTTGTGTAATCAGCAAAGATTCCAATATGGAAGCTTGCAAATCTTGATATGTAACATCACCAACTGCTTCTCGGCATGTGTTACCACTGAATAAATCACTTCTCAAAGCAAATACACCGTTAACCAAACCCTCAAACATCTGCGCAGTACCAATGATATTGATTAAGTGTGCCAAAGACGTTCAAATAAAATTTAAAATACTTTTGCAGTATTTAAACCATTGTCTGTAGTCAATGGGCGTTGCCTAAGTTCTTCAATATTGCAGTACTCTTGAAAACGGGTTGGATTGGATTTACAATACATACAGGTCACTCTTGAAAATCAGAATTGGACAGCGCAGCGAATCACTTAACCCCTTCATATTTAATATAATAATGGATAAAATAATAGAAAACACTCCGAGAGCAGCTGGATTCAAAATGGAAAACACATTCTTCCATGCTGTCTGCTACGTTGACGATGCTCCCGTCATTGCAGATTCTTAGGACAACCTCCAATGGTTACTACATTCTTGACACACTAAATCAAAAGAATTAAATATGCTCATCAACACCGAGAAAAGCAAATGCTTAGTACCATCCAGAGAACCGATAAGATGTAAGATGAAGATCGACTACAAGACTGTCGGAAGTAACGAGTCACGGAAAACTTTATAACGAAGTGAGGGAGCAAACAATGAAAGCGTCTTGAATTTCGGGAAGACTGCGAGAGATTGTTTGGAAGAACAAATACATTCATACCAAAAGCAAGATATATAACACGGCTATAAGACCCATCATATCATAGGCAAAGACAAGATCAGATGAACTCTACATGAACAAAACTTTACATGACAGAATACGGCACGAAAATATAAAACAACAATGTGGAATACAGGACTCGGGAAGATAGGTGAGACAGAGTCGAAAATTCTGGAACAAACATATAAAAAGAATGGAAGACGACAGACGCTTGCAAAATGTTAATTGGGTGGAGATGGAATAAATCCTTCAGCTTATCCAATCCGTATTGCTTGCAAGTCACAATTAAATATACAGTTAAATATATTATACAGTTTCGGACACTTTAGCATTACCAAAGAAATCATATAGATGCATATCCTCTGCATACATGTTCATTTTGCAAATCCAAAATTGCTTAAGGAACTGAGAAGTATATAAATTCAACAGCAAAGGTCCCAACACAAAGCCTTGCAGAACTTTATATGTAACATCCAATACTTCAGGCACTATCACCTCCTTTTTTCTCCACGTTCTACTAATTATAAGAAAATCAATTTTCAAACCAAACATCCCACTATCCAAACCTAAGAACCTCAAATATCTGTATAGTACCAGTGATGATGGTCAAGAATGTGAAAGGTCTTTGTGAAATCCAAAATATTTTTGCAGTACTTAAACCATTGTTTGTAGTTAAAGAGGATCGACTGAATACTCTTGAAAACCGGGTTGGGTACGGATGGGTTGGGTTGGGTTGGATTAGATTGGGTACATGTACAGTACATACATGCCACATGTTTTCCCAGCAATATGTTATTAGATACTGTTTGTGGAACCTGCTGCGTCTTTTTATTATTTTTCCGAGACCGTCTAACAAGCTTGGAAAAATACTAGTTGGGCAGAGGCAGAACAATAGCAGCTTTCCTTTACTCCGAAAACATATTTTCGATCAACCAGATAAAAAAATACGTCAGAAGGTCGAAATAATACGACAGCATGTCATCAACACGGTGAAGTCCACAGCATCACGACACCAACTGATGACGAACGTGATGAACTAAAGACTGAAGACCTTATTGAAGGAAGAAAGTCAAAAACCTCTATAGACTCTATTGAACAATATAAAAGTCATATTATAATACTCCTGATCTGAAGGAGGAAAAGTATTTATAACTCTTGTGATAGTGGCAACAAAAATGTATGGCTTGAATAATTTTGTATTTAAATAATCACCATTACGCCACATTTTCCTCGCTACCTGCCACTTCCTGTCTTGAAATCAATTTAAAATAAGTCTTTTTTGAGTATCTAATCGATTATTAGAGATTTATAATAGTACTCCCATTGAACGTGATCACTTGTTCTTTTGTGCCTCATGACATGATGGACTTAGTAAATTTACATTCTTTTAGTAGAGCATAAGTATTTATTATTAAGAGAAATGAGGCCTTATCACCCGCAGTCTTCATTCAGAATGTAAAATAGGATAAAATAGGAGAGGGATAGTCTCCAAATCTCTCAAAAAAAGAGAAACGATCTCATAATTCTCAAACAATCTTATTTATCATAATGGTGACATACTCTTAAGTAAACTCACTGGAATTCCATAGAATAAGAAATGATGGTTTGAAACATCGCAGAAGACAACAGTATTGCAAAGAGCCAACGTAGGACCAACATTAATTAATAAATTTATATACGATTGACTGTGCACACCTAACCTCATCAACTCCTCCACTATTTACACATCGACCAGACACTCCAGCAACAATGCTATATAAGCAATATCAGGACAATTAGCCAACATATTTAGGTTAAAGTTACCATAATAGATTACTTTTATTATTACATCGAAAGATTTGTATACATTACTGCATATAAAGATTCAGTACCGTTTTGTAATATTCAATAACTGCTCAATAGCAAAGAACACATGTATAGTAGTGTACACAAGTAAACCCATTGTCTGACATAAAGGTGCATCACCTTCAGATTAATTAGCAGAGATATATCAAGACCAAAGATATAACACTCAACGATCAAGGCGTCTTAATTTGGATACGGACTACGTAGTCCACACTTTTTCAACGGCATGCATAGCCCAAGTACATTTATAAAATCTTATTAAAATTGGTGCGAAGAATTTTATGATTTACAAATTTGTATGTGATTATCCAACATTTAGATCGTCAAAACAAAGGTTTACATAAATATTCAATTTTCTAATGTTGAGTCCAAGGTTCAATCCTTATTTCAATTCTTTAGATTGTAAACATTTTTAGAACATCGACGTTTAAAAAAAAATAATATGAGTACAATTAAAAAGTGTTTTGTCAAAAATAAAAATTTGTCATGCAAAAAATTAAAAAGTGTAAAAATGTATGTGCGTGTGATATACTACAGCAATTTATATAATTTTACAAACCATGTCCACCATTTGTCCATCTATGAGACAGATCATGGAACTTCTCAAATATAGCGTCCCCTATAAATATTATAATTTTGTTTGGAACGTATTAAAACTCAAAAGTGTTAAACCACAAAATAGAAAATTAGCTAGAAGGTGACATATGCGTCGTTAAATGAAATTGTAAAGTCTTTATGGAAGATTGCTTAAAAAGAAAGAAATAGAAAAAAGTCTAAAGAAATGAAGAAAAGAAAATAAAGCTCAAAAGCTAAAAGTAACAAAAAATATTTGTGTTTAAATTACTTACGTTCAACACTGTGACCACTCAGTGTTTTTGTAAATAAGGGGCGTTCTTCGGGCGGTGCTGTTATATCTTTCTTCGCTTTCATTTGTAGTGATATAGCGTCCATGTGAGTAGTTTCTCTTTCTACTGAACGCACAAATTCACGATCTGAAATAACAATAATATATAATATAACAATAATATAGCTTCAAAATTAAACCACGGGACATAAAGATTAATTAAAATCGATATGAACGAAGATAAAAAAGGTATCAAAAAATAAATAAAATACTACTCACCAGCTTGACCACTAACATCTTTTTTGTCATAACTTTTTGTATCAATTTTCTCAGCAAGTTCTGAGGATCGTCTCGAATACTTTTCAAAGCGTGCTAATCTATCTTCTTCCACAGAACCTAATTTCTTGTAGTCACTTTCTTCCTTAATAGATTCTTCCCTCCTTAATTTTCTTGCGGAATAACTATCTTCAGTATCCTCGCTTTTAATGCTTCTTCTTTTGGAGAGATAAGCAGAAGGGTCTAAGTCTTCATCGATAGATTTTTGCTTTGAAATGTACTCGTCGATATCGAAATCGTCGTCAACTTTTTTCGTTCTCCTCCTCGATGTCGAAAAGCTGTCATCGTCAGCGCTTGTAATGGTTTTTCTTTCAACGCTCCTTATGGATTTTCGATAAGAATCGTCATCGTCGCTGCGATCAATCGAACGCGAAGATTTTCGATAAGAATATTGTTCTTCGAGACCTCCGGATCGATCTAAAGATCTCATTGATTTTCTTGAATATCGATCACCATCATCGTCGGTTTCCGTTCTTCCTTCAGCTCTAATAGATCTCCTCGTGTAAGAAGAGGAATAAGCATCACCATCCCCAGAATCGGTTGCAGTCCTTCTAGAATAAGTCATCTCACCATATTTTGAGCTTCCATCATCAGATTTACCGTATCTCGTTGTAGTAATTTCGCCGTATCTTGAATTTCCATCATCAGATTTTCCATATTTTGTTGTAATTTCACCGTATTTTGATGAATCGGTGCCATATTTGCTTAGGGCATCAGAAGAGTATTTTCCTCCTAAGTCTGAACTGTATTTACTGGTGAGAGATGATGATTCGTATTTATTCCCTTCTAAACCATATTTTGAATTTAATCCTTCAGTAGCATACGACGATCTTGATGATGTACGACGGCTATGTGCTTCTTCGTAACCGCCTGCGGATAGTTTATGATGGTGTTTAAATATGCGCCAAAAATGAAGATGTTATTAGCCCATCTGAAGCGCAATTATTTTATTCGCGCAATGCTGGATGCTTTTATAGCAATTATTGTAGCGATTATATGAGAATATTTATTGCGGATTTTTAAAAAAAGAAAACAACAAATATTATAAATGTTAGTAAATTAGTTTAAAAACTCAAACAATAAAAAAACAAACTTTCTTATGTAGTTATAATTTTATTGTAAAACACATCGGTAAAAAATACATAACACACAACCAACCTGATCTAGCCGAAGCACTCGACGTGTACTCAGTATATTTTCGACTCATATCGTCATCGATAGCTAATCCTTCTGTAGCAATATCAACCTGAACTCCAATCTTATAAGAAGGATCTACTTCAGCTAAAACTTTGTGTCCCTTAGCGTTAACAATAACCTGTGTTTTCGAGTGGCTTCTTTGAATGCTATATGACTCGGTTTGTTGGGTCACAACAGTTGTTTGTTCCCTTTGTACCTCCAAAACGTTCCTGCTAACTTCTAGATGAACTTCTTCTGTTTTGGGAGTTGGTGGAGTAACTATAATTGTTTGTTCCGGTTTAGGATTAGATGGAACAAGTTTTTCCTCTACTTTTGGTGGTTTTGGGGGTTCCTCCTTCGGCGCAGGGTTAGTCTTTGGTGCTTCTTTAGGTGGAGGTGTTGGTTTTTCTTCAACTTTTGGTGGTGGACTAGGTTTAGGTTGTTCTTTAGGTTTCTCGTCAACTTTAGGTGGTGGATTAGGTTTAGGTTGTTCTTCAACTTTCGGTGATGGATTAGGTTTAGGTTGTTCTTCAACTTTCGGTGGTGGATTAGGTTGTTCTTTAGGTTTTTCTTCGACTTTTGGTGGTGGATTAGGTTTAGGTTGTTCTTCAACTTTCGGTGGTGGATTAGGTTTAGGTTGTTCTTTGGGTTTTTCTTCAACTTTAGGCGGTGGATTGGGTTTAGGTTGTTCTTTAGGTTTTTCTTCAACTTTAGGTGGTGGATTAGGTTTAGGTTGTTCTTTAGGTTTTTCTTCAACTTTTGGTTTTGCAACTTCTAATTTAATTTCGGGTTCTGTCGGTGGAGAAGTGGGTTCCGAAGTTATTTGAATATCGTCACTTCCACTTTCGTCTATAAAACAAAACAAAATTAAAAATACGTCGAGTTAAAAATAACAGATTAAAAGGCATTTACCAGCTTCTCCAGCAAACTCTCTAATTTCCTTCAACCAAAATTCTTTAACGTTTTCCCTATGAGCTGTTAATAGCAAAGAACTATTGGTAGTCTTCTCGATTAATTCAAAAGATCGCTTATCGTCCTGATGATCTTTGAGGTCTACTTGTGGTAACTGCAACCGAAAGCGTTATTTACTACAATCTCGAAAACTTGGCATAAGCCCACTTTTGATTGAAAGCCAAAACATTAAAATCAACGACGTTGGAAAAGAAACTGATTTTGGCGCCTTACCCTAATAATATCCTTCAGTTGGAATACAGAACGTTCGTCTGATATCCTTCTGACCTTGCAGATTAAGATGCGGGCCTTGAATAGGAAGAGATAGCGTTCTTTTACTAAATCCCCTAAATTTACGGAGAACCAATCGTGTGCTAAAAGTCTACCAAGTTTATGGATACTTCCACGATAACCTTCGATGCTATTTGTGAACTTATCGTCTTGTGCCCTGTGAGGGACACTTAGCATCAACTCTAAAGCCTTTTGGAGATCGCTGCTGTCTTCTCCTAGACAAGCACTATATCTTACCAACTCCTAAAATAAGGAAAAAATAATGTTTTTAATTTAAGTAAAATAATATTTTACTTTATTACGTATAACATTTTTATATTTCCCAGGCATATCTGAATATATGATATATAATAATTACGAAAACCGTAACTCCTAGCCAATAAATACATCCATCAATATCCATCTTACTATGATGAATGTTATTCGATCATTATTGATACGATGAATTTGATGGAATCACACTCGACTTCAATTAGATATTCTGACATAAATCTTGTAGGTAAAGAGTAGCAAGGCAAAAACACCAGCTGCGTAAATTAAATTATTTAGATCTACTGTCATTTCACAACCATTCACTTATAATTTTGATGTTGATGCCAATGACAAAGTAAATGACAATGACAATTGTTTGATAATAATAATAATTATAATTCTCATCAATATCTAAAATCTGTCTCAACTTTTTCCATGTTTTCAAATAAATTTGCATTTAGTGTACATTATAATTTTTATCATTTATCTGTAATCTTTATTTTATTTTTATTGTTATATTTTTTTACAATTCTTACACTTTTGCACTTAAAATTCGACTGTTATGACCCTTTGGTTTACAGTGTTAAAAAAGTGTCGAAAATACAACTTTTGTGATATTAAATGTGATCTATGTTTGTGCCAACTTGACTTGGACTCCTGAATGCGACGAGTGGCTTTCAACATTAATGATCCACGTTACTAATAATCTTAAGCCAAGTTATGTCTCAGTATATATTTATGGCGAACTCCTCCTAAGTAAAGCCGTAAAAGAAGGAGGTTATTTACAAAACGTCCTGAGTGTGTTCAACTATGTAAGCCAAAAGAGTTGAGTATCTATAACTATCTTAAAGTTTCACAGTTTATGGGCTTGACAACCGTCGACGTTATAAACACAAAATGGTTTTGGAGTTATGACCCGATTTGAAACCCGGGTGATACAAAGAACGATATTCATGTTACATTTATGTACAAGTAAATATGGCCGCAATTCTGCTGCAATTAAAGCTTCGTGATTATTTACAATAGATAGGCAACCAAACAGAATAACAAATCATTCAAGTTAAAAGAAAAATTGAAAACTTTCGTTATAACTAGATAAATTAAAAAGAAAAGGAAAGGAAAAGCTACCACTTCAAACAGAAAGATAAAGTGTGTCTAACAGGTGATAACAGGTGTCTTAATTGTTACTCAGTTATTGCACTTTGACTATACTAATATAAAATTCTGGCATCAAATTATAGTTTGTTCTTAAGATTAAATGTGAAGAGTTAATATGGAACGGAATAAAATTAAAAGTCTAGAGGCGAATAAGGATTTTCAGGAGACATCGATAAAGACACAAGGAAAAAAGAGATGCTTCTAGAATGTTGCAGAAATTTGTAACAAGGGGAAACATTTTTGGAAATACACAAAAAAAGGGTAGGTAATGTAATTGATATGTTGGAGACATGGGTGAACAAAACGAGGTGAGAAGGAATGCCACAACGACCTAAATGATCAGCAGAAACTAAGGGAACAAGTAAGGACAAACGACGGAATTATTACTCGAATCAAGGAAAGAACGATGCCGGCAAGTAAAAATGTTAAGCATCTAACAATTGGAAGAGAGTTTACTGCAAAGATCAATGAAGTTGGAAGAAGATAGCGTGGAAAGGAGGTGATGGAAGAAGAAAGGAGGTGATGTCAGAAAGATACTATACAGAAGAAAGAAAATTATTACCCTGGATAGAAATCGAATATGTGTTGAAAAATTTAAGGAATCTGTTGAATCGTCAACCGTTAGAATTAGAGCTGTAGGAAGGTGGTGGAATAAAGGGAGTTGAGGAGAAAAGAAAGTACAAATGGGGGACTGGACGACTTATAGAAGTGATTAAGGGAGCGATAATATAGACCAAGTACAAAAAGAGTTCAGGTTGAGAAGAAATGAATGGTGTGATAGAGGGTATAACAAGGCGAAAAATACGTGAGTAAAATGCAAATGGAAATTGGATTGTGGGGAAGTGCAAAAGGATTAACATAAGATAACCAGAAGAGACTATAGAAGTATATATAAGAAGTATATATAAGAGAAAAACCAGTAGATGCACGAAAAAGACGAACCAGAGATTAACAAGATATCTCTGATTCTTATAAAACAAGATGGAAAAATATACAGGGTGATTCAAGAAACCGCTGACAGACTTCTAGGGTGATCTAGCGTCGATCAAAGTTTTGTATGAGATCAATTGATAGATAATTGATCACTTTACAAGAAAATACTGCCCGTTTGACAAAATTACCAATGGCATAGACAATATTTAAAAAAAAGGCTTTTTATTGCAGATAATGTTTAATTTTAAAGAAACTTTGACCCACTATATTTCGTTAAGGAGGCATTTGCGACCCGATGTATATTAAGACTAGTCATCTTAATTTTTCTTATATTATCTACTCTAGAAGTCTGTCAGCGGTTTTTTTGAATCACCCTGTAGAAGGTGGAAGTAAAATCAGGTGATGATTTACAAAAGCAAAGAGGTTGAGCAACAACAATAGAGGCAGTAGTGGAAACGACTAAAAACACGAAAGCTGCCAGGACAAAACGCAGTTCAGGAAGAGGCAGGGTAGGAAGTGTAGAACAGAATGACAGACAAGCTATGGCAGATTTTGAAGATTTTGATTTTTAGCATTGAGGGAGGGCTTTTAATTCAAGTGGAAGGTGTTAAAGTGCAGGTATTCAAGTGGAGGTTGGATACAATATGTCCATTGTACCACATGGTTCGTAAAGAGTTAGAAACTAATTACAGAGGTTGTAATTAGGTAATAAGTAATGTCTCTTACTTATTACTCTCTAAGTGTTGCAACAAGAGACGGGAAGAGGGGAGAGAAGGAAGCAGTAATAACTCAACCAAAATTAAGAGAGCTGAGACCCACATGATTACGAGAGCTACACAAGTCCCGATCATATAGGAGTCTCCCCACGAGATATAGGATTACACCTAATTAACTTCCACTAGAAAAGACATGTATACCTAATAGGCCTACATTGGCGTGTAGTAACACACACTTCATATCTTAAGTATATCAGAGGGACGTTGTGGGAAGAAGAAAAAGAGCGATGCGTTTTGGTAACGAAAGGGTTCAGTTGGAGATCACCATAAAATTCCTGCTAGTTTGTCTTATACACAGCAAAAATTGTAGAGTGCATAGATAGAGGACATTGGAAGGAGGCACTTATATGTATATCCTAACTTACGCAAATGACATGGCGGAATGCATAACGAAATCGAGGCCAATGATAATATGTTAGGAGAAGTATTTCAACGATTTGAAAGTCAATGTGGAAACTAAAGAAAATAATGAAGTTCTGTAAGTTAGGGAGAAGGCAAAGGCAGGAATGAAGATGCTCAAAGACAAAGCCTCGGTCTTTGTCTTTGAGCATCTTCTTTTGAGGCAAGAGAGGAATGAGATATAAGTTCAAAGATGTTGACAGAGATATAACGCATATAAGAAAATTGACATAAATTGCGAATACATTGATAAGTTTGGAATTAGGGACAAAGAGTATTTGGGAAAGATATTTAGAATGGGAAAGAGGTACTTAAAAGTAGTGATTCGAGAAGAGCGTAATGGTGTCTGGAGTAGAAATATGGTTGAACGAAACAGGGACGCTATAAAATATACAAGCAAAGTACTGAATATGCCTGAATATCAGGTCTAGATCGAGAAACACTGCGATATATAGAAATAGAAGAGGTAATCGTAGATAAATTGAGAGTCGATGTGGGTAAGCAAGAATGAAGAGCACAGATAAAAATTTTTGGAAAATGTTTGAAGAAAATCAGGGCAGAAGTAGAGAAATATGGCTACAGGAAAAGGAGAAAATAGTTGTAAAAGGTAAAAAAGAAAAGAATGGAAGAAACGGTAATGTCTTGGAAATTAAGATACAGGGATAGAGTGAGTCAAAAAAATACGGAATCGAGAAAAAGGAGTTCAGATAGAGAAAGGTGATACAATTTTAAGTATAGAGAAATTATAATGGACGATGTGCCGAAATAACTTATGATTGTTAATGCAGAGAACAAGGAATAAGCTTGATAGCGAAATCAGATGTAACGAAATGAGGAAAATACCAATAGATATTCGATGGACAACGAATAGCAAATGTCTATATAGTGTAGGAAGGATCGGAAAATCTTGTAAAGAAGGTATGATGAACTGAGGGAGGTCAGGCACTGAAGGTAGATACATAATGTAGAGAGAGGATATGGATAGATGATTTGTTGAAAGAGAGAAAAAGATTAGGGAGTTGAACGGGAAAGTTTTGTAATATCATCATTGATTTATTTATTGCTTATTCAGGACATTCAAATTTGACGCAATTTGTAGCAGGTCACTACAGCAGCTCCATTCACACTTCAGTGTTAGTCTAAAGGGAGACAAAATACGTGTCTAAAGGAGGGAAAATTTTAGAAAAAAAAAACAAAAGAGTTAAGATGAAAAGATTAGCCAATGTTGAGAAAACTAACGTTGTTCTTTCATACTCAAAATTGATATATGTGGAAATAGAAAAAAAAAGAGCAATTGGTTACGATTTTTCGATATGTTGCCAACCTTAGGAAATAATTATGGATTCATCTACATGCAAATTTTTTTGAAATATGCTGAACTATGAATTAGATACATGTTATAACAATGTTATAGCTTCACCTATTGACTTTATTAAAATAAATTACTAATTTTTACTGAAAGATTAAAATTTAAATTCTTTTTTTCGTTATATTAAATATCGAATTTTATTGGTAGTAATAATTCCTAATAGCATTGAAATAACCATAACAATAAATATTATATGTAATTGAGTTAAAATTTTATTCGAACCGTACTGACCGAAGTAGTTTTCGTACAATTTGGGTCAAGCGTTCTAAATATAATTAAGTTCAAAACTAGTTTAATCTATCACTGAACAAATTTAATTCTACTAAACAAAGCACTCTGACACAATCATTTATTTTCAAAATAAAAAATCGCATTTCTTCAATCCATTTTTAAATCAAGTGAAATATATTCAAACTTAGTAATAGATGCCTAAATTTAAAATATAAAGTCGAGAAGTAAACACATTCAGTGCATATTTTTCAAAGTATCAACGAAATGTGCGGTGAATCTGTGCCAAAACATATCCGATATCTATCTCGTTCTGCTTTCAATTCTAAAAATCCTTGACACTCACCTTTAAGAGAAGCTGATAGTCGTTTATGCGTTGAATCGGAAGCTTCAGGTGCTCGGCGAAGCTCTTGTCGTCACCAAGTCGATGTGACAGCTCCTACAAACACAAGGAACTGCGTCAGAGGCGAAAAACGAAATAAACCGTGACGTTCAATCGACGGAACGAATCTAAACTTATACACTACTTAGATGAAACGCAGGTGAACCACCAACGATTATAAAACAAACATTTTAAGATAAGAATAGATTAACATTTTTTGTGTTAAATGATATTTAAATCTTGATGATTTTTTTTTGATTATTCTGTTTTCAATTTTGAGACAAAGTTATAAATACATTTTACGAATACATATGATGTATGAATCGCCAACGCAATGTGTGAATATTAAATTTAGATTTGAGTATCTAAAGTAAATTTTACAAAGTAGTTTATATTAAATTTTATTTTCACTAGTCAGTTATTTAGATTTAAATCAGTACATATCATCTCATCAGTTAAATATAGTGTAATGTCTCCAACAAACTGAGAACGAAGACTTAAGTTACAAGTACTTGTCGTGTATCATAGACGAAATATTACAAAATATTAATTTTCTTAATGGGCAAGGTCCAAAATTGAGCTATTTTGGCATAAGCTGCATAAAGCTTGGCAACTCAAGCATAAGCACGATAAATTATTGTAATCACTAATCATACTCTCTTCCTAATTATATATAAAATAATGAGATATAATTCATGAAACTTGTAGATATAAAACGGCGCCATTCTTTGAACGGCTTCCAATTGAACCTTCTCAAACGCGAAATCTAGAGACGGTCGTTTGCGCATCTATTTCTGAACTTTGTTTGACCTCGAGGCAATGAAGTTGGACTGACGGTAATTCACAGTAACGCGGCCGTAAACTGAAAACTAGAATTTTCAGTATTGCGACTAAAATCATCGCGAGAATTAGGTGCCCTATATAAACAGGCAATTTTCGTTAAAATAGGACGAAATTTATATCAAATATAACTTATAATTTATTTGTTAAAATTAATTTAAGAATATAAATTTCGTTATTACGAAGTTCTTATAAACTTATAAACAATGAAGATTCCGGATGTTATATGCATAATTTACAAAATTTAAAAGATAGAATATATTTATTAGCAATATTATTAATAACTAAGTGATTAATAACTTAACAATCAGTATTTGACTATATTAAAATATGCGTCAAAAAGAGATAGTATTTCACATCCATAATAGAACACCAAGCTTGATGTCATAAAAACGGAAAGGATTCGTCAATCCGGCATGAAGCCAAATGTATTCAGCGACATACTGAATACGCACGAACAAACATGCTTTACAAATACATACAATGAATAGTGCTTAATAAAAGTTGGTAAAATCGAAAAAAAATACGTCTGTCTCAACGTCGTGTGGCCAAAAATAGTATCAAAATTCTGAAAATATAACGTCGCGTTCACAGGTATTACGTAAACCATCCGGAATTTTCTATCGACTTCACGGATAAATTTAGAATGAAGAATTCTTTCTAAAATGATTCCAAGTGTTTTATAAGATTTTTTTAAATTTTTAGTGGTACTTTTTGAATAAAGAGTACTGCTGTTATTTGGAGATAGCAAGGTTATGTTTTTTTGATTAGATGAAGATACAAAGCGCAACGTCACCTATGTATGACGTGTATCCTACCTGTGGATCTTGGGGTTAATCCACGTGTGCAGACTACGGCTGCAAGAGGAGACGCGCACTTTTCACTGACACAGATTCGACTAAAGCCGGCAGGCAAAGTTGGAAGCTGAGCCCCAGGCTAAACATAGACCATAATGTGGAGGAGTTCTCCACTCGATAAGCCGCTAGAGTAACATACGATTTGACGACAACCTTTCTATATGACCAATTCGATTGGTGCATGCAACACTTATCTTGATCAACTTAAAGTTGCTTAGTATTCTAATAAGATATTTGTTGGAAACTTTTTGGCACTAGAATCTAAATAACAAACATTCCATTAGTTTGATTTGTTTTATTTTTATCTTATCACCTACAAGATAATTATCTTCATTTAAATTATAAAAAACCAAAAATTTTAAGCTTTTTTAAGCATTAATCTTATTAATTTATCTGAGAAAATTTGGCACAATACCTGAATTTATATTATTCACGAAGTACGTACCAGGTAAAATGTATTCATAAATCAAATATATTTAAGACGAAATGTGTAATGTACCGTGTAGATGAAAAATGTTCCTGTTCCACACCTGACTACAACGACAATTGTTTAGAAAAAGTTTTTCTAAATATATAAATCTTTATCTTTAAGTTATAAATCATTACAACAAAGTGAATATGAAAAAGCATTACATACTTTTATTATTGAATATAAATTCAAAGAAATTAAAGTTACTCATGTATGCTTTAGTAAAGTCGTTTCAACAAACGCTATAATTTTCATGTATATGAATAAAACCTGTGGGTGTTATGTTCGAAATACTTTCTTAAAATAGAATTTGAACTCAAATATAAAAAAGTCTTCAGTATTTACAAAAAATCTCTAATAATAAAATTTTAGCACTTGTTACCAAAAATATTTTTTGGAAATGATGATGTAATATTAACAAATGAAGTTAAAAAAAAAAATCAGAAGAAACTTTATTTTGTATCGTGTGATGAAGCTTTTAGTTAGTAGTAAAACTGAAGATCACTTCTCGTAATGTTTCTCTTGGCACCGATGCAATAACAAAATTTTAAAAATACGTTTAACCCATTAAAGCCATTTTTTAGCCATTGATAACAATTCTGTTAATAACATCTTTGGTGTTCTCCAACAAAGTTTTAGTGGAAATCATCACTAAAATCGTGATTTCTTTAACTCCAAGAAAGATCTAACAAATAATTTAATTCTTAATGTCAGAGTAAACTTTTCTGTGCAGGTTTAAGTATAAACGTATTTGAGGCTTGTAAGTAACTGGAGTAGCAAAAGTTATTTTGCTTTCTGCATTGATTCCAGCAAAAAATTGCGTAGAATCAGTACCCAAAACATTGTTCTAGAACCCATAATGTTGCAGATAAGAGCGAAACTCATTAAACTGGCTGAAAATAATTTCATAAGTGAGGAAGGGTTTAAGTATGGATTTATTATCCAAGGACAATTTAAATTTACGGTGTATAAACCTATATGCATATAGTTTAATTAATCTTCTACTCCTTAAATTTGGTGAATACATTCTTTTTCATGTGTGATCTTTGAGCTGAGAAAGTTGAAAGCTGCTCATTTTCACAGAATGGCAGAAGAGAAATCTCTTGTTCATAATATAAATGTAACATACGTGTACTTAACTTCATCAACTGCATCAAAGCAGCATGTTTTAACTATTTCTAAATTTTGTTTATGTTTATTTGAATGTTTCCCAATGATGCTCTTCCCACATTCCAAGTCACTCTCTATATTGCGTATTGCTGGCATATGAGCAAAATATGCTCCATTATCCATTTCTCCGCAAGAATAACATTCATTTGTATTCGTCTTTACTATCTTTAGTAGGTACCTTTCAAAGACTCTATCTATATTTCTGTATTAGAGATTACAGTTCCTGTCAAACCATTATAATTATCTCATCTACCCTGCCACATATCACCAGTTCTATGGTTGTTTTTCTGCATCATCATTTTCCGCGAAACTATACGAAACACCGAAAAAATAAAATATGTTCCTCAGTAAGAACACATCGCTACCACGTATTATAATCAAAGGTGAAATTTTTTCGTCAGATAGTTTTTAAGAAAAAAATCGCAAAGTGGACGAAGTTACTAGCAGCTTCAAAAAGCGGGTTGATTTTCATTTAACTCACGATAAAAAGAAAACCGTGAAGTCAAAAGTTTTCAAATGCGTATATGTTTCGTAGCAATTTTCATAAATTGCAACAAACTTTATTTGCTATTTCTTCATCGATCAATTGCGAAGATATCAATCTCCTAATGTGCCTTGATTTTTGGCACCGATTGTAAGAATATGTGAGTTCTATGATTCAGTACATTCCTCTTGTGGATGTCCGCCAACTTTGTCAGAGTTGAAGATGGCACTATCAACGTTCCAAAGTAATTGTATACTAAATTTAAAGTTGAATTGGGTTGGTCGTCGTAAGTAGCAGTTATCGTAGATCGTGTTGTTGTAAATCGAGAACTACTTTAATAAATAATAAAGATGTTTATTGATCAGATAAGAAACAAAATAAAACAAAGAGTAATACAAAGACAAATAAAATTAAGAAATTTATGAGATGTGTCTAAATCTGATCAAAGAGGATCATGTCAGGTCGACCAAGAGAAATAGTCTCCTGATCAATCTGTTTTTCAAAGACCCTCATTTTGAATACAACAACAAAATCAAGAAGGTACAATTGAACGAGTCAAGTCAATAAAAGAAAAACACCCGACGAAAGGTTAAAGAGATGTAGTGTAGTAATAACAAATTGTACTAGTAATGCAAATGGTAAATGAAGAATAAGAAGGTTAAGTTAATAGTCAGCATAATTAACGCCCATCATGCATAGCCGATCTCCTGACACGTCGTTGTAACTGTGTTGTCAATGAATGCATTAATTGTGAAAGCTATTATGCCTCTATTACTACATGGAAATTCTATCATTTTCACCAAATAGAGCAGTTATTACAAATTTTGTGTTGAAATTTTTGTTAAAACTGCTTAATGGGAACGTGGGAAAAGTAAATGACATAGAAAATAAATTAATGTTTCGTGTCAGAGTCAAATTCATTTTAACTATTTGAAAAATAAATAACGTTTGCATTGACCATGAAAAATTGTTACCAATTCAGGCAACACAGCAAATTTACAAACAGATTACAGCACGACGTGAAATATTCTCCATTTAACGTAACAGAAGAATGCTTTGTATTGGAGATTTGTCAATTTGCTAAAATTATAATCATAATATAGAATAAGCCGAAAAAGTCTGTATTTAATTGAAATAAATCACTTAAATAAATAAGGAAGTTCACAAACAAGAAGTTTAACGTCAAGTGGCTCAAGAAATTATTGGAAAATTATTCCAAGCGAAGTTAATCAAATTGGTAACAGCACATGGACAGTTTCCTAATGATTACAGATTTTAAGTACGAAGGCTTTCACGGCGTTCACTTCGAACCAGTTTCTGAAGAAGGTTGCAACAAGGCATCCGAAACGTCAAACCTTTTATTAAAAGACGCACGGCAAAACCCGAAAGTTTCTAGTGTTAGTTCTAGTTTTAGTTCTAATTTTAATTTGATTGCAGATTGTTAATTCAGAAAATTAAATTCAAATGAAAAACAAAAATAAAAACAACTCGTACTATTGGAGAAACGCATATTAGCCTTGTGTGGAAGACATTGAAAAATGTCTTTAAAAAATAGATTCATTACAATTATCTAATAACACTGTTTCGGATCTTTCTGCTGATACAGAAACAGAGCTAATTAATCGACGTAAATTTTGCAACGAATATGTTACAAATAGATGAAACAACAGATGTCACAGGTCATCATTTAAATACAGTAATAACTGTATTTATATCACAGACGCTGCACAAACAATGGTGGGGAACATGAAGTTTGAGTGGTATATTGGTATGAATGCAACTGAAAACCACTGCATTTTGCAGAGACAAGCTCTAGATACAAAAAGTTCTCAACATATTTAAGAAGTATTTTGGATACAGTAACACAGTTTTGGATACAACAATTGTATACGATGAAATGAGTAGCTAACATACCTCTCTTTTATTACGTACTGAAGTAGTATACATCGATATAGCACCTCGGCTTAATTAATATAAATCGTTTATCTCCTTAGGTTTACGAATAATAAACAGCACTAACAAAAAATTATTTTTATCAAAATGCTGTCAGATAAAAACACATTATCAAAACTGTCCATGTTTGTATCGATGTAGCACCTCGGCCACAAGCAACCTCGGCTTAGTTACTAAAAATCATTCATTTTCTGTAATAAAACGCTCCACAAAAATATAGCGCTAACAAATATTAATTTTTCTTCAAAAGTTTTCAGATAAAAAGGCACACTTTCTTGAAATTTTCCTGGTTTTTATTGATATCGTATCGTGTAATACTTCGACCGCAACCAACCTATACTTAATTACTCTATATTCTACATCATACATCAATCCTAAAACACGTAGTAAAGGCGCAAATTAACGAATATTCTATTTTACTGGAACGATGTCAGATAAAAAGACACTCATTCTTATAAACTGTCTAGTTATATATCAATACAGCATCCATGTAGCGTATCAGCCGTAAGCTACCTCGGCTAAATCATTCATTTCTTGTACTAATAAAACGCGTAGTAAACGTACGATAATCAAAAATTAGTTTTCATTAAAATGCTGTTAGATACACTCTTGAAAGGTAAGTTTGTATCGATAGAACAAGTTCACTTTTGAAGTTGTTTCTGAAGAAAGAAAACGTCAAACGATATTTTACAAGCTCAGGAAAACTCAGAAATTTCTAGTTTTAGTTTTATTTCTAATAACACCAACCTTGAAAAGCTAGGACCTTATAATACCCAAGTTAAGTAAATCAGGCTCCACCGTTTTTACTTCCGTTTACAACAACGTGCTTATGCGAATCTGCATTTTCATGTTACGCTGCCACAAAATCGAAGTATAAAAACCGTGTTGATGCCACATCTGATATCAGAATTCAGGTTTCCAATATCGTATCTTATAACAATCTGTAATTCTAAAAATCAAATGCATAGCAGTCAAAAATCCTTGACCATAGTCAGCAGATATAACAGCTGTAAGATAATTATTTATTAACTTCGTACAAAGAATATAATATAATTAGGATTTTAGTTATTTCTTCAACGAGCTGTCATTTAATTAACTGATTCAGCTCGTCGTGACAGACCCTGTATAAATAAACAGAAACATAACAGTTTTGAAAAGTGATTCATTCATTCACATCATCTTTCAGCTACGATGAGAGATTTGTTTATAATTTTTTCGTTCAAATTTAAAAATATAACACGGCTACCCGCGTTACCTCGTTATACCTCATTCTTGGAAACCATATAAACGAAGTTTTATAATAAATATTTTTATAAACATACTGATTTAAATAGCATTACTTGAAAATAAAATATAAGCTATGATATCAATACTGCAATTAATTCCGATGTCAAGCGCATTAGTCACATAATTAGGACTTGGAAGTATTAATGATGCCAATTCGTACATACTAAGCAGAAATTATGTTAAAAACGTACAGACATTATTGCAAGAATGATGAATGAACGACAATAACGAATAGAAGCACTAAAATGTTTGTTACAAATAGTATACGAAAAGTTTTACAAGTCAAAATATGAAACAAATGTAATGTAAACTTTAATATCGCGTTTCAAAATATAGAAACTTTGGGGTGACTAATGATTTATTGCATCCATGTCAATTTGTGGTGTTCATAAAATATGTTATGACGGTAATAAAAATGCTGAAGGAAAAACAATATAGGATTTCCAATCATAATATAAAAGTATATCAAATTTAACACACATAAAACAACACATTTCAATATTTCTAATCTAACATACTCAACTTACATCAAAATAATCTCTTGCTTGAGAATTTGTATCCAGAAAAGCTTGAGCAATCGGTTCCTCCATACAATAATTTACGTGCTTATCAAAATCTCGTTCCAATCTCAAAAATGCTTTTCCAAGTAAAGCTGGTTCGTTAGCATAATACTTAACACCTTCCATTAAAACCCTACGAAGAGTTAAAAAATCTATTAACACAATGAAATTTTGAATAAAATTATTATTACACTCTGTGGAATTCTCCTATTTCCCTTAAAGTTCCAAATACCATTTCCATATTATCTCTAACAACTTTTGGCACTTTCTTCGGATCACGTTCGGGATTGATCAAGTAATTTTGGACGACGAAATCTACGTCGCGCACAAATTCTTGTTCAGTCTCCACCAACTCGCTTACAACAGCTCTACAAAAAATAATCGATAAGATGATGGAAAAGTTATTAAAAAAAAACTTACTGTCGTCGGAATGCCGCATCTCCAGGTGTTCCGGATCCTGGTGTTGGTTCATCTGCTGATTGAAGAATTTGGCAAGGGACCCAACCTTTTTTCTTATCTCCTTGCATCTTCTTTACTAACCATCTAAATATTAATGTTAATCTATAATGTATCATATAAATATTGGTGGTATTACCTGGCGTTTAAGTTTGTTCTTGTAGGGGAATGTCTTGAACTAGTATGCGTTCTTCTAGGTTTAACCGAAAGCTTGTGTTTCGCAGCAGAAGCATCTAATAATTGTTCGCCAGATACATCTAAATTGGGATCCATTTTCATTCGTCTTTAAAAGAAATTACACATAAATGTATTTGGTTTGATTTTTAACGATTTTTTTAAGTTAGTAGCTTACTTTATGGTGGGTCCTGCAGGATCCGTAGTATCCAAAAGTTCGACGACATCTCCTTCTTGAAGAGTAAGTTCATCGTCACCTTTAGCTTTATAACTTTGCCACGCTACGAGTATTTCTCCTGGATTCTATAAAAAGTAACAAAAAATTTGATTATTTCAAAGATTTTGATGGTGTAAATGTAGCAATAATTGAAAAGCGCTTTATACCGTGTACATACAGGAAAACGTAAGATGAAAAACATTGTGTGCTTGTGTTTTCAAGTAAAATTCGTTTATTTAAATCCCTATAGCTTCGGTGCATCCAATGGAATGTGTATTTGTGTCAGCTAAAGCTGGAAATAAGTTTACAATTCATTATCATATCATAATTCATATTTCATACATCTACATAGAAGCCAAAGCGAAAATGATTAATTTGTTTGTTGTGTAAATTTAGAAATGTAAGCTTTGTAAGTCGGCAGATCATAATATAATTAATAAAATAAAAAAAAATAATAAAACACAATACAGAAACCTAGGAATATTTGGATGCTACACACATTGAGATACATACGGTTGTCTACACTACACATATTGTGGAAGCCAAAATCTATGCAAAGCAATTGACATAGAAAATGCGATAAATTTTCTGAAAGTACTCACATCTTTCGACGATGCCATTTCGTCTGTCGTCACTCAATGCCAATTCATCTAAAACAAAACGAAAGTGAAATTATACAATCGACCTTTTTAGGAACTCGTTATCTGTGACTGTGGTTGTAATATACATATGAATAACTTTTCAGTGCACGTTGCCCAAAATTTCTAACGCACATAAATAGATACCGTAATGTGAAAACGTTATTTGACCCTATTTTTAGTGTAGGCTTTTTTTAATTTCCAATGTGCAGGAGCCATTTTCGAAACTGTTTTAATAACCAATCGTAAGAAAAACATCAGCTAAAATCGAGGGCAATTTATTAAAAAAATATGGCTTTTTTATATTCGTTAGAAACAGAAGAAATTAGAATCTGTCTGTCTGAATTTTTGATATGTATTAAGGTGGGTTTATACAAGATGAATTACTTTGCAATTTTGATTTTTAATTAGATTATATTGCGAAATGAAACGCACGAGTTTCTAAGTGTTATTGGTTGAATCGGAAATGCTGTTCATCGTTTGGAATGAAGTACGCTATTGGCTAGGGAAGAAAATTCCCCTTGCAATTGGTCTATATAAAGATTGGGTCAGTCAATCGAGTAAATATCATTCAATTGGTCAAATGCCAAAGACCTACACTGTACACAGACTGTAGGTGCCAAAGTCGTAACAAAATAGCGACACGATCCTTCAATAATCGTATCTTATATCAATCAAATTATTTTTTTCCCATACATCATCATTACAATTATTTTTATTTAGACACCAAACAATCTTTATTAAGACATTATTCTTTTTACTTGGCATCCTTAAAATTAAAACCTTGATCACGCAATTAAAAAAAGGACAAGCAATAACGTCGTTAAGTCAATGTCTAAGCCAAATAACACTTTTACGGTTGGGGACAAACGGAACATTCATACTAATGCATTTAGATATAAATGGTTGGCAACGTGCTCGCGGATATAAATGGTTAGCTCCAACACCACGATGTGTTGCTAAACGATCATAAGCAAAATCTACCAACATCCCGCGCCATGCGACGGTATCAAGGTAAACATTTTTGGGTCACAGGCTATTCTTGCACAACCACCGCGGAATCTGTTTACAAAACTTGAAAATAGGGTCGATTCCGTCAAACGCTGAAACGCTTCAGAAAACGAATAAATAAACGCACGATGGACGATTGAGATCAAACAAGCATAAATTTTCTTACACCCGTATTATTATGTATTTCTAGTAGTAATTTTATGTTATTTTCTAAAATTTGTTAAAGAGAAATATTTTCTTGAACTAATTTCAAAAATAGTTTTATAAACTATAAACCATAACAATAAAATTTTATTACAGAATTAAACCCAAAACATTATAAGTACCTAAATTGAAGTGTTAACAGTATTCGGGTAATCTCAATTCGTATAAGTATAAAGAAACCAAATTAAAATAACATAAAATTCAACCCTCACAATAACATCGTTTAAAACCTTTAAAACTTCTTCGATGTCAACAATTTTATTGCAGAATTGTCGGAATATTTACGATGCGTTAAACATAACTCAAAACATTATTTTTGCGAAACTGACTCACTCCGAAACCTGGTAAATAATTTAGACCTATGTATCAGCAACGACCACCTTAAAACATTGGGTCATAGCGAAATGGAATTCTTTTGGCACAACGCACCCACGTAATAACACCACGTATACGTAAACACGTGCCTACACACCTATATCGTTTTCGAATAAAATGAAAAAAAAAACACAAACGGAAAATCGCGCTATAACATGTTTTCACATCCAAAAAAAGCTGCTGAGATGCGGCAGAGCGGCTCGAGTACTGCCGTTGGTAGCAAGACAGGTCCTTATATCCTCTCATGTCTATAATTATGCGTCGGCCGATATTTATTCGGCCGACGCTACACGTCGTCTTTCGGGACGCTAGTGCCTCCCGACGCCATACCAGCTCCAAGCCATCGGTGGCATACCGTTCGATTCATACCTTCCAGAGAATTAGGCAATCGAATTACGACGTTAATTGTTTCAATCTACAATGCCATCTAATTGAAACAAAGATTTATTTTTCTTTAATTGTTTCTTTCAGCTAACATGTAAGTCTGAACTAAAAATGGATGTAGTTTAACTATCTATAAGTAATGTAGATGGAAATATTGTTGATTAGATTGCAACTCTAACGGCGAGTCTGATTCCGATCATGAATTAATTTACTGCACCACGCAGATAATGTAGAACAACTTTACAACTATTCGTAAACTTTGAATGTCGTGTAAAACTCCATTTGATAAAGGAAATTATATTATTTATATCATGCACCCTTGATTTACGAGTGATANAATTAAACTAAAACTAGAACTAACACTAGCACTATCACAAGAACTAACACTAGACCTAGAACTAGAATGAACTCGAAGTGTCACTTCGAACTTGTTTCTGAAGAAGGTTGCTACATGGCATCCGAAACGTCAAACATTTTTTCAAAAAACGCACGGCTTAACCCGAAAGATTTTAGTTCTAGGTCTAGTGTTAGTTCTTGTGATAGTGCTCGTGTTAGTTCTAGTTTTAGTTTAATTAATATCGGCCGTGAAAGCCTTCGTACTTATAACTTTACAACTATTCGTAAACTTTGAATGTCACTGAAACTTCCGCCCCGTACATCATTGCACTCATATCATTGCCTAACCGACCCATCAAACATAATCTTTCTCTTTCTAATGTAAACACTTTCTCACCTCATCTCCAGACATGCCCCATCACCTTATTTGCCGTTTTAGCCATCTCCCTCACATGCGCCGCGTCGGTGCTATCCTCCCTGAACCTGTACCCCAGATATGTGAATTCTCTCACCTTCTCTATCTCTTTCCCATCCCATCTCCATTCCTCCCTCTTTCTTCTCCCCTCTTTGCAGAATCTCATCTATTCAACCACTACTATTAAGTATTACCTAACTGATAAAACTGATATGGATGATGAAAGTGGACAATATCATTCACATAGATGACATAAATATGACAAAAACGTTTTAAAAAAACAGATTCCAAAAGTTCAATCCTTTACTTGTTATTCTATTCTGTACCAGATTGTCTACTACCAAGTATCTAAACAATTATAGAAACTAAAACATGTTCTAATCTTAATCATACTTCTTCTTCAATGACTCATACCGTTATCGGTCCCTGGCCTCTATCAATTTTTGCTCTCTGAGCCTGTGCCCATAGCATGCCTCGTCCAATTTCTGCTGCCAAGCATATTCCTTGCGTCTATATGGGCTGACCACATGTCCTTCCCATTGCAATTTATCGATTTTGATATGGTCTGAGAGCATTGGCTTCTTATAGTAGCCTTATAGTTCCTGGTTATATCTTGTTGGTCATATATTACTCTCATATATTCAACCTAAAATCCTATTTAAGATCTTACTTTCGAAGACGACTATGCTGTTTGTCAATTTCTGAGTTAACGACCAGGTCGTATAACCATATGTCATTACAGGACTTAAAATTATTTTATAGATCCGAAACATTATGGTTCTATGTATGTCCTTAAATTTCTTTATTATATTCGTATTTCCCCAGCCTGACCAGATTATGCGAATTGCGAGACCACCTGTATGGTATCCTTCGTGTCACCACCCACGACTCTACCTGACTTAGTGTGCTTCATTATTTTCGTTTTGTCTATATTTGATATTAACTTCCTTCTGCGTACCCTTCTTGTACACCTTAATATTTTAATGTCGTCCACATAGGCCACCAGCTATACCATTTGTTTATCATTAGTCACAAGGTCCGTTGAGTAAACATACTGTATATAACCTGTATAACCTGTATATAACCAATACTCAACGGACCTTGCATTAGTCATTTCTCTATCTACACCAGTCGTACATCTCTTGTGTCGTGAGTACTCTCTAAGAGCGACTGAATAAAACATCAGTCAACCCGTCTTGCCAATAACGAATTATTGGCAAAACCCTCTTATAATATCGATCAGGAGAAGGTATATGTCCATACATGGACGAAAAATGTTGAATAGAGAGTGCCAGCCCATTCTCTTGTTTTAATCCTTTGGTAACATGGAAAGTTTTGTTAGCATATGAAACAATATCTGTGATTTAAGTACCAATGGCTCTTTATTTTATGGCCCATCGATTGTTGCAATAAATTATAACGAATCCAGCGTAAAGGTATTAGTAACAATAATGCTGTCGACGTAGTGCCATTAAACCTCCTCCGGTTTTAAAGAATTTTTTTAGAGCACAACATTTCAAAACCTTTCTGTTTCATATGCTTGTTGAAAATCTAATAAATATACTGATGTCATATTACCAGGCGGTCTACAGTATTTGCTTAACCGTGAATAGGTCCTATTGACCAAAAATTCCCTCTATTTTTTATAATTCCGAGGAGACGTTATTAATCTCCGGCATCTTTCCGAGCTTTAGCGGTTTAATGGCATTCCTTATATTGGCCATACTTGTCGGTGGAATTGCTGAGTACTTTCAGTATTTTCCATGTTTAGAAAATTTTAAAGTAATCTTCCCTAGATCTTTACAGAGTTTCGTATAGGTTTTACAGCCTTGTCTTAATTGTTTTAGTAATATTCTTGAAGTCCGTTTCCATGTTCAAAATTTGCTCATTTTCATACTTTCTCTTTTTTGGTCAGATTCTGTATCAACAGCTCTCATCGATTCGTTAAATGCGTCCTGAAAATTCCTAAATCTTCATTCTACATGATCTCCATTCAAACATTTTCCTCACACTAAATCGAACAATGACCCCCTCTTCAAACCCTTCGCGATTCCGAACATTTCTTTCACCGCGATCGTATCACATCGCCATCCTTTCTCTATATCCTCAGCGGCTATACAATTGACTCCTTCAATCTCTCTAGATTAAGTTTCTCCTGCTATTCTTGTGCACAGTTGTCCACAGGTTAGGCCCCAGCCGTAACTCCAATGCGCAGAAACTTGAAGACTCCCAAGCCGGGAAATATGACCTTATGACCATATGACCTTGTGTACATCATAAGTATAACAAGTTCTCTAGTCAATCGGAGTCTGAGTCTGTTATACATATAAAGATTGATAGTTCTTTCGGATGTATTGTCTTTCTTTACAATCTGTATTTAGACAATCACTTATTTACCTTTATCAGGTACATTACTATATCATGATTCAATTTCAAGTCGTTGCGGAGTGAACAGAGATGTGACTTCTGCTTTGACTACAGCTGTTATGTTTGAAACATGAATTTTTGATGTTTTTTGAAACGGCTATCCAGCAATGCAATGTTAAGATCACCAGAAAAATATAAAGATAAGAATTCTTTAGGAGGACGATAAATGTGTAGTAGTGCCCAACCTTACATAAATGTCATGTTCTTAATTCCATAATTTAATTTTTGAGGCAGAATTGTCAAAAGGGGTTCCCAATGTTTTGTAGCTCCCTACATTCAATTTGCACTTTATTATAAACTAACTCAACCTACAGATCCACATATTCTTTATCAATATCATTATCATCCCAATTATAACATACAGTTGTTACCCTAAGTTTAAGTCCTACACCCTCGAAAAAATATAGTTACTACAGAAAGTACAGTAAGGGTTGAATTTAATGTTTGTTTCACTTATACAGAGTGATTTATTAGCGCGCTATCAAACTTTGTCATATGATGGCTAATCCACTTACAAAAAAAAATGTTAATGAACATATCTCCTATTTCAATTATTTACGAAATTATAACACTTTAAAATTTTCTGCAGCGAATTTATTAATATCACGAAAGTTATCCATATTCACCAAAATAGTTAATTGAATTAAAATTTCTCTTAATATACTGTTTGATGTTTTTATTAATAGTCATTATCAATTTATTAAGAGTCAGTAAAATCAAACATTCAACAAAAACAAAGTTGTCATTGTAATATGTCAATTTGCGGTAAGGTGTAATTATTACATACAAGAAGAAACTGAAAATGTACGCTTATAGCAGTGAAGAGTGTGCTGATATAATTTTTGTGTATGGTTTTTGCAATATAAATGTTCGACAATCAGTTCGAAAATATCAAAGAAGATTTCCACAGCGTGATTTTCCATATTATTCAGTTTTTAGCGATTCCTTCAGAGGACTTCGAGAAACAGGTAATCCTGCTCCAGAAAAAGCTATTCGATCGCATGTAGTTAATATAGAGGACGAAGCAGCTGTAATTAATGCTGTCATTGATAATCCTTCCATCGGCACTCGAAGAATAGCACACAACATACATGTAAGTCAAAATTTTACATGGCTCGTATTGAACCGCGAAGTCCTTGATCCGTATCGTAAACAGAATGTTCAAGCTCTACAGCCAGGAAATAATCAGCAACGGTTAGCATTTTGTGAATGGTTATTGCAGCAACATGCCCAAAATAATGACTTCATTTCAAATCTTCTATGGACAGATGAATCATGTTTTACACGAGATGGTATAAATAATTACCATAATGAACATATCTGGGCATTACAAAACCCGCATACGATTAGACCAAGGAAATCAACAACGTTTCAGCATCAACGTTGGGGTGGAATATTTAACAACAATTTACTAGGTTGGCATGTACTTGATGAACGTTTGTACGCTGTAAATTACAGATTTTTTTTCAACAATACACTTTTTGATTTACTTGAAGATATACCTCTTAATGTAATTATTCAAAATATGTTATACCAGCACGATGGCGCCCCACCTCATCGCGGAAGAGTAGTTGTCGAGTGGTTAAACCAATATTTTCCAAACAAGTGGATTGATAATAATGGTCCGTTTGCTTGGCCACCTAGACCCCCCGACCTTAATCGATTGGATTTCTACTTATGGGGTCAAATGAAACAAATTGTGTATCAACAGTTATTAAACAGAATACAAATGGCTGCTACTGAAATAAGAAATCAGCCAGACATTTTAATTCGGCTGAAGAACTCTTTAATTCGTCGTTGTGAAGTATGTATTCTAGCAGAATACAGCAGATTTCTAGAAGCTGCAGCAGAATTCTAGCACATTTTGAACAATATTTGTAATATTTATGTGTTTTAAAAAAAATTAGCAGTTAATTATGATATAAAAATTAAAGCTTGTGTATTAAAGTGTTATAATTTCGTAAATAAAACTTTCTTTTTTGTAATTAGATTAGCTATCATATGTCAAAGTTTGATGATGAGCTAATAAATCACCCTGTATACTTACCTTTATATAATCTTAGAGAACATCAATCAGAACTAACATACTAGCGAAACTATAATAGATCACCTTGTATATGAATCCCCGCTAATAATCGCAGAGACAAAGCGATAGGTTATGCCTTACACTGATACTTTCTCTGAAGTTAGCATTCTGCTTCTCAATGCCCATTAGTTTCATCTATCGATAGAATGCTCAATAAATATACATAGTGCCAATTATGACAGTTGTAAATTGCAAATTTCTTATTGAAAAGCTAGAATTTTGGTAAATTTCATGTGCAAAAACTTAATTTCAATAAATCATCCTTGAGATACAACATTTGAATAGATAAAAAATAAAAAAATAGATAGTAAGTGCAAAATAAAAGAGGTATGGATAGTAAATGTTATGGATCTGTTGTTTTCGAAGACATCCATCAAAAGAGGATTGGATGTGACACTTAGGTTTTGACTACAATATACTGGCAGTAGAATTATTCTTCACATCTTGCAATAACTGTTCTTCCTATTGCCATGTAATTGCTAATTATTGAATCAACTAGATTCCGTTTACCTTTCCCTGATAGCTTAATTTTGAAAAATTGTACAAGAATTATAATGTGATGATGTAATAGTAGATAAATTGCTGAGATCATTCTAGAATATTTGGGAGATTTTATTTTCAATTTTCTTCTGTCTTAACTATTCGATTCCAACCTTCAAACATTTGAAATATTTCTAAAAATGTAGATTATCCTAAAAGATAAAGTTAAGGGCTAAGAATTACTAGGCAACAATATTTACGTAAATATTATGTAAGTTCTTCGTCCTACAAGTACTAACAAGTTAATTATGTGTGTCTTTTGTCAATGTCTTTTGATGACACCTATCAAATGTACATATTGAAAGAACAAAAGTTTATTGCTATTTGTTCCGAATAACTACATTCCCTTTAAAAATGTAGTTCATATACGCTGATATCATGCTTATTAGTGGCACTTTAGTACATTTATGTTCAATTTTGTACCTTAACATCCTCTTTATAGGTAATGATGTTTCTGCCATTCTCACCGACAAGCCACAACCGCATTCCAACTACATTAAGGAAATGTTCCCATTTCTTCAAAAAGGTGATAAAAATGAAGATATGAGTGCTCTTTTGGCTGAAGTTAAAAGAGAAAAGAGAGTTTCTCACCACGGAAATTTTAAAAGAACTCCCCATGTTGTTCATTTTAATCCCGCATACGCACAAAATAGACGTTTTATCCGAAGACCTTTTGTTGGGTAAACTGATTTAAAAATAATTTTTTCACAGAAATCACTTTTTAATGTTTTAGAATTAATAGATTTCTCAAGAATCGTAATAGAATAGGAAAACGTAATGTTCTATCAGGAAATAATGCAAGACAAATTTTTCTCAATCGAAAATTTAGGGATGTAAAAGGAAACAGAGTTAAGAGGGCAAAAATGTCAAAAAGTAGCACAAAAAATAACATAGAACCTTCAAAAACAACAGCTACTTCTTTAACTAAATCTAAGACAAATTCATTTGTACAAAATTCATTCAATTCTACGAAGAAAATACAGAAACGCACTGACATTAAAAAGAAATATGTGAACCCAAAAAAAAGGGAAAGCGATATTAAAAATGTGAATGCAAAGGAAGAAATATTAGATCCATCGGCGTTTGATGATATAACAGAAAAAAGTTTAGCACCACACAAAGCAGTTCGATCCATTTCTTCCACTCCTAAGGAACTAAACCAAGGTGAAGATGATCCTTCAAATGAATTTATTATCAGAGTATCGGATGACACAGAATTTATCGACAATGTAAAAGAACTCGCAAAACGGGAAATAAAACGTAAGTAAAATCTGATTTAATAATTGTGTTAATATCATAAATTAAAATTTTTAGCTGAACATAAACATAAAAAAAATATAAAAAGTGTAATCACAAAAATTTTAATAATACCAGTAGAAAGACAATTTGAAGAAGCAGGTGATGATACCCCCGAAGAAATTAATATGGTTAGTTTAAAGCATGCCAAGACAAACAACAAAAAGAAACTTTCTACGAAATCTCATAAGTCGTCTTCTATAACTATATCGGAAACTGCTAAACCAATAACAACTTCACTTGTTCCAATGGATACGTTAAATGTTTTGGAATCTGCGCAACCAGAAAGTTATAATATTGTGTCAATCAGCGAACCAATAACTGAACCGCCAACAAATCTAGATGTTACAGTTCCTTCGACTATTGCCACTATTAAACCAACAGGTTCGAAACCAAGAAAACTAATTATAAAGAAAAAGTTTAGTACCAAACCTTCTTTGAAATCGTTAACTCGCAATTTCAATTTGTTATTGACTAATATGCCGACAATGAATGAAAATAGTGTAACTAATGTTGATAAAATGCCGGCTACTAGTATACTTGACCCATCATAATCTTGACATAATATCTTATAATTATAACGTATTGTATATTAAGTATTTTCTAATCTCAATTATTCTCAAATAAAATTCTTAAAATCTTTTTTTTGTTATTACATTAGTCAAATTATTGCTTTAGTTGTCAATATATACTGTCACATGTTACACGTCAGATTAAGACTTTTACAACTATAAACATAGTGAGTTCTCCGGTTGAGAAATTCTAATAATATATGCAGACAGTTGGAAAAGGAAGAGCTCACTTCTGAGATGCTCCTAATAAGATATGAGAGGCCTTTTCGCTCACGTGTTGTGAGAATATGTCAATACTATGTTCTCGCGCCTGTGCCATAGTTATTATCTATTGTGCAGTGTTGATCTTACAACCAAGTGGAACAACTAGTGTTAAAGACTTGAAACAATCACCAAAACAAGGCATTTTGAAATTAGCTCAAACATTCCAACGGTCAACACTACCGAGCGATGATAAAATGGTAACCAATCGAATCGAAGAGGTATACGTTAATTATCCACATCGAATTAAAAGAATTTCACATCACGGTCATCCGAATAAAATGTGGAGATCGGGACGTGTTAATTTTCAAAAGGAAAATATGATAAGTTCGAATTTTTTTAGTAAATCAAAACCTCTCATATCTTTTAAGGACATTGAAAGTAAAAAAAAGAGGTATGTTGAGTTAATTAGGCCTTAAATTTTATTTTAAGTATTTCGTTGCAGTAAACGAACCTCATCAAGATGTTTAAATAAAATGGTTCATTCGAATATTGTTCATAGTAGTAAGTTAGTTGGAGATAGAGACTCATTAAAGATTGTACCAAAATCACGAAAACGGAGGCGAACAAAACGATTAGTTAATCAAAAAAGAAATCCTAGAAATAGTCTAATTTTACAATACACGGTGTGTTTCCCTCCATTTTAAAAACTTAATCAAAAGTATTCATTTTTCAGGATTTATCAAATAATGATTTATATGATGTAGAAGATTTCTTCCCAATAAGAAAAGGTTATAATACAATAACTTCTCGGATAAACAAAAATATTAAATCGGACGACGTCGTTTCAATCACACCACGACCTGTGTATAATAGCCACAATTATTTTGACGCCATCACGGGAATTAAACTACCAATTAAAGTAACAGTTGATCCAATTTTAGAAATGAATCCTCAACCGAACGATAATAGCACGTACGGTGGTCAATTAACTAAAAAAAGAAACGCTCATCCTGTTGCTTTACAATCTGTGTCGTTATCAATTCCAAATAATGTTAGCTCTTTTAATTTGGGAGTTCCATTCACAATCGCACAACAAGATGTAGCTATTACTCTAGCCCATTCGAAAGATGTGGAGTTATCATCCCAACAACCATTACAGTTCAATAATTATCAAAATGATTACAACACAGATGTGAATTTCGCCGAAAATACGGAGGATACTTGGACGGCAATTGATGTCACTGCAGAAAATTTTAAGTTTAACAAAATTAATAATAACCCAATAAACGAATTTCAAACAGATGATGTCACAAATACAGAAGCAGCATTTTCCGAAAATGTAAATAATTTTCTTGATACAACGACAGTATTAAGTTATAATCAATTTAATGACAATTCCTCGATCACCGTAGATCCAATGAGTGCTTTTAATTTCAAAAATATGGATTATTACGATATAGATCAAGAACAACGTTTTATGTCATCACCATCGTTATCACCATCATTATCGTCATCATCTTCATCAACAGCATCTACTAAATCCCCTAAACATTACATTCAGATGACGAAGAAACATAAGACGTCATCTACTTTACCATCAACTACGAATGCAACAATGAGCATAATAGAATTGAATGCTTATCAAACACCGGCAACATATGAAATATCTCCTGAAACATCTTCTCCATCATCATTTGTATCATCTTCTGCATCATCTTCTGCATCATCTTCTATATCATCTTCTATATTACCTTCTACATCACCATCTACATCATCTTCTGTATCATCATCTGTGACATCTTCTTCAACAACTTCGTCAATATCTCCTACGACATCTTCCGCAACACCTTCCGTAACATCTTCCATACAAGATACAGTATCTTCAACGAAATCAACTGAAAAAACTTCAATAACAACAAAAAATCCAAATGTAGGAATTAGAAGTTCTTTAAAATTTCAAATGTCTTCAGAAGAAGATGAAGAAAATGATTCTGAAGACTCTAACACAAAGAAATCGTTTGTAAACTCTATTGAGGACGAAACAAATTTTTTATTTCCGAATTCTGGGTCATTGGGACATGTTGAATTAACATGTCAACCTGAAAGTTCGTTTCCAGAACCAATTGAGAGTAAAAAAGTAATGGAGCAATCATTATTAAGGAAACGAAATATTAAGGATACTTATACGCAAAATTCATTATTAGCACAGAAAAGCGATGTACCTATAAAATTTAATATATTACGTTTAAGGAGATTAATAAAACGAGAAGCTAACTTAAGCACAACATCTCATTCAACTAGTGAGTCCTCGACAACTACAACAGTAACCCAAAGTGATGAAGGTAGTAGTGTTGAATCGTCAGCTGTTTCCACCACATCATCAAACTATAAAATAGACGATAACCTTACAACTTCTGGACTTACTTCAACTAATACTTATTCTGAAACGACAATAGAAGACAATACGGTTACCGTTAATAGACGAGATTTAGAGTCCCCACCGTGCGTTCCTTCAACATGTAGTGATACCTGTGGTAAAATATTACTATAACCTTTATTCAAATTATAATTAAATAATAAACCCCAATTAGAAAGTTCGACTTGTCCACCAGAACAAACTGCGCCACCATCAGATTCTGCCTCAAGTGATGGAGCACAAACAGCAGCCCAAGGTGCTGCTGGAGTTGCGGTTCCAGCTGCAGTTGGAGTTGCGGTTCCAGCTGCAAATGATTTGTCAGCTTTTGCAGCCAACACAGCAAATGGAGGATGTGAGCTACCTTGTAACATGTCCAACACTCTTAGCGAAATTTTACACAATGTCGAGATGTTGGCTGCGCAAAAAATTGGAAGTGCAGAAGATTTCGCATGTAGTCTCAATGGCTCGTGGTCTTCAGAAACAGCAGGTGTTAAATTTAATATAGTTGCCACAGATGATAAAGTTCTTAGTATTAATATGGATGCGCCGGATGTTAATCGACAAACAGGGTTTATGTCGAATAGTACGTGGCAATTATCGGCTATGGTACCAATTGTTCATAGTGGTATTATAATTATAAATGGAATTAACGAGAAAGATAAAGCAGTGGCCTCTTTTATTGGTAAGTAATTATTTTGTTCTAATAATCGTTTCTAAGGGTCAAGATATCGTTAATACAATCGCATATAGAAATATAATCATATTTTAACAAATAAGTGACGGCAAAGAAATTTCTTCTTTTTGAAAGAGAGAGATCGTGGTTCTATTAGGAGAGAAATGTTATAAAAATCTTAATTATTAGGTTCAATATTTCATCTCTTCTATTTTATATTATAACTACAACAGAGGCGTATTTTTAATCCATGTTAGAAACAAAATCTTAGGTTTAATTTGAAACAATTAAATGAATTAACCACGTGTTCCAATTGTCTGTTAACCTTTCTTTGCTCATCATCGAATACTTAATCGAAAATCTAGCATTCTGCTCGTAAAGCATTATATCCGCGAATGTATACCCTTTTAAATTTAAACAAACTATTACTGACACGCTAACGAGATTCAGAAAAAAATTGCCTTGTAGAAAGTTTATGTCAGTTCCTATTTTCATTTTGAATGCAAATGTAATGGATTCGGTATTAAATCAATACCCAATAAACTAAGAAAGGAATAAAGTAGAATAGAAGTGTACACCAATCCACACTTGGATGAAAAAACCTATAACGTTGTCAAATAGATTCTCGACTTCACATCAGGAGTAAAATCAGGACAATTAACTAATCAATTAAATGTAGTGATTATATCAATCATTTTATGAGCTGTTAGATAAAATAGACGATAAAAGTCCTGAGTAGTGATCAATTTAAAGTTAAAGCAAACACCACGAGTTAATCGCCATCATTCCGACGGCGCTGAAGGAACCCCACACCATAACGCATCCACCTCCGTGCTTTATGGTGGGCAATTAGTACTTGGGATTTAGGCAGATACCAGAAAACGGCGTATCCACGACATGCCATCAGATCCAAACATCAGGAATTTGCTCTCATCGCTTCAGACGACCTACTCCCACTGTTGTCGGGTCCAGTTGAGGTAAGCCTTCTACCACTCGACGCGTGCCTTCCTATTCTTGGCCAACACGAACGGTTTCTTTACTGGTGGTCGTCCAAAAAATCCAACAGTATTGAGTCTTCGATTGATAGTCGCCACAGATGGCTGGCGCTGCTCCGGGTGCCATAATTCACGTGCAATGTCCACTGCGCTAACCCTGGGATTGCTCCTATTTAATCGTACAGCGTTTCTGTCCTCGAGATAAGTGGTAACTCATGGTCTTCCTGAAGGTTTTTTCGTCACAAAGCCCCCCGAGTTCGCAAGTTCTTAAGAAATCTGGATACAGCAGACTGGGCGGTCGAAAACTAAGCTGCAGGCTGTGTCTGTGTCACCTTCTGACGACGGCCGATGGACGACTTCTACGATCGCTTTCTGCATCGCTTCAGACAAATCACGAGTGTTCTTTCGTTTTTCCATGTCTGTAAATACAAAAAAAAATAATCATAATATTTCGACAAAAAAATTGATCTTTCACCTCAAATTTCGCAGCTTTAAGGTTCGAAATATTCTGAATAAAATGAGTTTTATTGGTGTAACTACAAAAATGTTATGCAAAATTTGATACAGTTTTGAACGGTACTGTATGGCAGAGAAGCACTAAAATATCACTACGTTTATTAAGTGTAATGTTATCACGGAATGCAACTAACAACAATATGTACGTCGCCACAAAATTACTAAATGCAGTGGTGGTATTGAAACCTCCAGACCATAAAACAGAAGTACCACAATACTTAAGATGTCAATACTTTAAATGCAGAAGTACTGCTTTGGATAATCTTGCTGCGTGAAATGCGCTAAAGAACATTTCACCTCACAGCATCTCCGAAGAGAAATTTAATAAAAAATCATCAATTGGGGATCTAGGATAATTGCATTGAGAGGTAGAAAATTGCTGCCTTGTCACTATAAACTCAAAGACATCTAGGATCTTAAGGCCTTTTTAAACGAATAAACTCACTCAGTGGCAAATATTTAAAGAAGTTTTGGAAAGTTCATTCGAGTCATATTCCTCAAAAATCAAAGGATGATGTTGAAGTTGCCATACAAAACTTAACGCATTCAATCCAGCAGGTTACATGGACTACAACTTCGGCACCTAAAAACACTGACAAATAATGTACCAACCCAAACTTTACTATATACTTAAATATATTAGAGAGAAAAGAAAGTTAAAGATAAATAGATAATAGATAATGAATACCCTAGATATCCCTCATCAAATGTGCTTGCAGTTTCAAGTCTAAAATCTAGGAAGGCTCCTGCGTACAATCTTATTACAAGAAATATATTAGAACATTTACTTGAAAATGCTTTGATGTCTTGAGTATTGCGCTACGGTAAAAAGTGCTGCGTCGTTGCGGTAAAAATAATGTCAAAACTTGATAAAAACCCTAGTGACGTGACATCGTCGTCCTATTAACTTATTTCCAGTTTTTACCTTCTTTGTTGGTAAAATGTTTGAAAGACGCTTAATACCAAGCTACTAATTTGGCTTCACTTACATCGAACAATCGACCAGGTTCATAGAATTGTGAGAGAGTCGAAAAAGGCTTTCGCTTCAAAAAGTTATTGTAGAGCAGCTTTTTGGGTATCTCACCGACCTTTGATGAGGTCTGGCACGCTGGCTTACCTGTGAAGTTAAACAGGCAGCTGCTTTTATACAGCAAGATACGAGCTGGAGTTCTGCAAGATAGTTTCCTGGGTTCAAATTTATACTTGCTGTATACCGCAGATATGCCCATTCGCATTTTCACTACTGCCGCCTCCTTAGCAGATGTCACCACAATCTTGGCCACACATATTGACTCCCAAATTGTTACGCCTGCAAAAGCACTTACATGAAAAGAGCAAATGTTTTCTTCATTGGCGAATTAAAGTAAATTACACAAAATCTACACATTGGATTGAGGCTTCTCTCCCTATTAAATCAAGTAAAATATTTGGGGATCCAAGGGCAATCATTTACACTGGGAATATTTATTTATTACACCTCGGTATATAACAAATAAACTGATCCATGAAGACTTGGACATTCCTATAGCTACGGATAATTCACACCATGATATAAAATTATGATTGTTGAATGATATTTTTTTACAAGATATCGTAAAATCCCAATATTTACTTAACAAACAAGGAACAGGGTTTGAATATGTGAGTGATTCAAAATCATACATGAAAGATTAATAGAATATAAATTTAGGTATATGAGTAACATGTATAAATAATTTTTATCATGATCGCAATTTGAAAATAAACTATGATAAAGACTTATTTTTGAATAAAAAAAAACTAAAGCAAGCTTGTTTTTAAAACCATACATGGCGGACTGTGCTTTAAAAAACCACAGGATATTCACATTTGTCCTTTCCGACTCTCCCCAAATAGGCCAATTTAGATTAATTCTTAGAGTGCTAATTACAGCTATTGATTTGAACTTATTATCTGCACTCACACACACAGCTCAGCACAAGATGAATTTCTTACATGACTATTTCCCTATTGAATGACTACGTAGGCCTTTAACAATAACTATATGTCTTTGCATTAGCCAAAGTAAATATCTTAATTCCATATTTATTTGGTTTGCATGAAATGAACATTTTCCTTTACATCTTCTAATATTTCGTCAACTCTAGCATACGCGAATGTTATTATGCATTTTTGCAGTTTTGGAGTTTTCACTGTGCATCTCTAAACCGTCAATACGTAAACTTTGTAGCAAAAATTGAAATCTAGTTCGCATCAAGTAAATGAAATAAGTCTATTTCCTTCTGTCTTATCTACTTCTATCTTTTAAGTTTTCTTTGATTTCTTTCTGTTCCATCTCTCGCAAATACACTTCCATTAGTTGGTTCAACCGTTCTCCGTTTTTTTACATGTAGCTATTGCTTATTACATAATTGAATTTCACAGTGGACTTTTCGCATTATAAAGTTAAGAGCAAAGAAGGGGAGAAAAACGGAGACTTAAATGTTGCTCAAAACTTGGAAATAGTGTTTAAACTAAGGATATAGGGCATAAACGTTTACCTGAAAGTATTTTATTGATATTCAATGAAATATTTTAGTGTGGATTAAGAGTCCGGATAGGAATAACCGAAAATTAATAATTAATTTTTTTTAATAATAGTAACTTAAATAGTTTTCATAGTCTTTCCATTTGTCATTTTTAGGAAAAAAAATCAACCTCATTAGCAAATTGGTAATGTCGGAATTGTATTTTTTTTAAATTCGCTTTTTGTGGTTGTTGATGTTAAAGTAAACATTACTATTAGCGAGATTAACGAGGTTTCCATTTTGATTACATTCGCCGAAATTTGGATTCTGGCCTTTAATTATATTATTAGCAGCTTCCACATCTAAAATCGTAAACAAAATGTACATTAACTTGTTTATTAATTATCTACATTGTTTTCAAAAATGTTTCAAATACATTTAGTTTTGATGTTAAAATGGCATATACAGGGTGATTCAAAAAACCGCTGACAGACTTCTAGGGCAGGTAATATATCAAAAATTAAGATGAAAAGTCTTAATATACATGGGGTCGTAAATGCCTCCTTAACGAGATATAGCGGGTCAAAGTTTCTTGAAAATTAAACATTATCTGCAATAAAATGTCCTTTTTTAAAAATATTTTCAACTTCACTGCTAATTTTGTCAAACGGGCAGTATTTTTGTGTAAAGTGATCAATTATCTATCAATTGGTCTCTTACAAAACTTTGATTAAAGCAACAGTTTTTGATTGAATTAACAAATTTTCTACAAATGTGTTTTTTTTTTTAAACTATTGCTTTGATCAAAGTTTTGTAAGAGACCACTTGATAGATAATTGGTCACTTTACACGCGTAGAGAGCAATGGCGTAGACAATATTCTTAAAAAAGTGCTTTGTATTGCAGATAATGTTTAATTTTAAAGAAACTTTGATCCGCTATATCTCGCCAACGAGGCATTTGCGACCCCTTGTATATCAAGACTATTCATCTTAATTTTTCATGTATTATCT